GCGCATCTGTGCCTCTAATTTTCAGCAGTGCTTTGGTGAGATTATCAGACTATTCCTAGGTGCCATAGAAGTTACCAGAATCTAAGATGTGCTCAGTGCAAATAAAGCAATTTTATCAGATAGTGAAAGACCTGAAGCTAAGAAATTTGGACACTTCGGTGTTGGCAAAAATTATGCCTGTTTTAAAGGGCTGACTCGAGCCAGAGAACAGCTGTAGTGCAATTAATAGCATCGAGTTTGCTACTATATTTTTCTAGTTTTATTTTGGATTTTGTTTGTGTCAGGTGGCTTTGATCTGGACATTAAAGGCTGGGGTGGTGAAGATGTACATCTGTACCGCAAATACCTTCACAGCAATCTCATCGTGATCCGAACGCCTGTCAGGGGTCTCTTCCACCTGTGGCATGAGAAACAATGCCTGGATGAGCTGACCCCAGAACAGTACAAGATGTGCATGCAGTCCAAGGCCATGAACGAGGCTTCTCATGGCCAGCTTGGGATGCTTGTTTTCAAACAGGAGATTGAGACACACTTGCACAGACAGAAACTGAGCAGTAAGAAGACATGAAGCCAGAAAGGGAGACAAAAAGCCTCTGAACTGAGCTATAGAGTGTTTTGGAAAAGAGTTGCTCACAAGAAAAGATGGAGGGAGACTGAAAGAGGATGGAGATTCCAGCAGGATGGCAGCAAAAGAAGATGAGGGAAAGTGCTTGTCCTCCTTTCTTCTGTTTTTTTTTTCTTAATAGAGCTTTTAAGTACTCCATTAGCCTGACTGTTCAGCACTTGCTTCTGGGGCAGACTTGAACACTTGATGAGATTCAAGGTCATGAAGACAATGCACGTTACATAAATGCCAGCGTGGAATTCACAATAACAAATGGATGTGCTCTTCTGTTGAAATGTTTGTAAGATGTGTACAGTTATTTAAAGGATTGACCCTTTGGTGGGCCAATAACAATGTGTTGTTTTCTACATCTAACCTGACATATCTAAGAAGGGCTATTTTTGAGTAAGTACAGAGCTCCTGCTCTGAGAAGGGCATCTGATTGTTAACGATGGTTAAGCTGGAGTGACCAAAATCTTTTTCCCTGAAGGGCCTGGGGCAGGAGGGACAGCAGCAGTGCACTAGCAGTGTGTTCCCAATTCATTCAGAGACAAGAGGCATCTCAGAAAGTGCTTTCTATAATTCAGAAGGAGGAAGCCCTACCGGTCAAGTGTGATGTTTCAAAAACACTGGAGGGTAGTGTGTGTTCTCTTCTGTGTACAGTGAACCAAAAGCAACGAGCCATGTCTGTATCACATGAATCAGATGGTGTATTTCTGCTTTAGAATACTGTAAGTATCTAAAGATTTATTTTTAAATTAAGTTGGGTTTGCTTGGGAATTATTTTGTCATACTTCAGGTTTTCTACTTCTAGCCTTACTAGGAAATAGTACAGCCTTCCAACACTTGGAAAATGCTCTGCAGATCTGTGTTTCCTGCGGGTGGGAACTGGATTCAGATAAATGAAGTGATTTTTCTACACAACCTGGGTGCTGGAAGGCAGAAGCTTTACCATGTTGAAGAAAAGGAAATGCGTATCAACTTGTGGTACTGATTTAGCAGGAGGCTTTAAACTCTGAATGTCAGATACCAAAATTGATGAACATTTTCTGACTTTATACCAAAGTATTCCTTCTAAACCAAATATAGAATCTTGCCCAGGGCATAGCAAGTTTTTTGTAATTAACAAAATAAATTTTTGTAATGGATTACTGGACCCTGCAAATTCTCTTACGATAATTATAGTTACATCCTAAAAATCAGTCTCCTTCTTAATAGATTTTTTTCAATTGCCTAAAACTGTTGAACTCATGAGTTACTGCTCTTATAAAGCATTTTATTTTAATGCTGACTGGTGGTTATAATTTTAAAGTATACTAGCCAACAAAAACTGGATGGGCTTAGAAATCCCACTTGCTTACCTAAATGCTGTTTCTCCGAGTGGTGTATTTGTTTTATAGCTTCAAACAAATACAAAGCAGTCTGAAGGCAGATTCTAATTTGTTTTTTGGCTTGTAAAAGCTGGAAGAAGAAATATGCAAGATAGCACTGAAAAATGAATAAAACACTATTTGTCATGCCACTGTGTGGTAAGAAGAGTGCTTATGAACCTCTTTTGAAGGCATTGCATGCAGAATCTGCTGACAGAGACCATGCTACTGCAAGTACCTTTTCCCTTGACACACGTTTACATGTGTTTGTCTTTTGTTGGATGCAAATGATCTACATTGCATTTCCCTTGCAAATCACCAAATGTCCCAAACCACTGCAAAAGTACAAAAAAAGTGGAAACTCTGTATGCTTAAAAAACCCAACCCCCAAATACATCGTTTACCAAAAAAACATCAGCAGTGATTCAAGTAGGTCCTCCAAAGAACTTTTTTGTTCCCAGAATACACAATAAATTCTTTATGAAGGGCTTTTTTTTGACAGAGTAACTTTATAAATACTACACAGTAGGATGAGACAGGCATGGCTTGTTGAATGCATATGAGAGCTATGGTAACTGAGCTGCTCCAAGGTGGCAGTTGTTCCTACAGTCCCACTTAACCTGAATTTGAAACTGGGTGATGTATATTATGAAAGTTTCATAAACATAACCTGCCTCAAGCCTAGCCTTAACTATTTCCATGATGCTTTTTCATTATCTTCCCTTAGGTTCCCCTAAGACCTCAGCAACTTAATGTAACTTTGAGATCGGCCACACTTCTAAAGCAAGGCTAGAATAGATGATCTCCAGAGGTCCCTTCAAACCTATATTAGTTTCTAATTCTAAGAACTGGGCATCTGTAAACTCAACACTTTGTTACTTTGCATACCTTAGCAAGAACATCATGTAGCCCCTGCCAGAGTTTCACAAGTTACGTTTTTAAATAGCACCTCTGTGATTCTCTTGCATGTCCTTTTCCACAGAGATGCTGTTCTTCCTGCCAGGAACAATACTATCTATGCAGTTCCTGTTCCTTGACTGCAGAAGCCAGTTTGGCAAGAGGTGAGATTGAATCAATGGTGGAGAGAGCCGGTGTGCAGTCACTGGCCACCTCGGTGATGTGCAGGAGAATCTAGTCACAGCAGAAGTCTGGCAGAGCTCTCTTAAAGGTGGAGGCTGCACTGATGTGAGAGGTGAGGAACAACATGAGAAAGGGAAGCTGCTGTTAGCTACTTTTCTGTGAGCCAAATGAAGCTGTAACAGGTCTTCCAGACCAGTTAGAAAAAGACTAAATCCAAAGAGAGCAGCCAACAGAGCTGTAGCTTTTGCCAGGCAGCTCTCTACCTTTCTTGTCCCAGAAACAGCTTGCGATCTTTCTCAGAATCACAACTGACTGGATCTAGCTGGGGAGGGAATAAAGATCACCCTGTGTAGATGTGGAGGTCATATGGGAATCCTTGCTTTAATTTTTGATGACTGTTGCAGGCTCTGGCTAAATGCATACAGGCATGTGGCAAAACAAATTGCCATATCCTTCCAGGATATGTCATGATCTCTTCAGCAAACAATTTTCAAATGTGACTACTCTTGTAGTCCTTGCACAGCATCCCTTGAAGAAAGAAAGATTCTACAGAGAAGCTCTCCAAAGTAAGCCAACACCCTTGATTCCCAACCACTGCAAATCATCCTTGCTTCACAGGATAACTAGGCTTCAGGATAACTAGGCTTCAGAGCAACAGAAGAACCAGTCTTGAGGGCATCTGTTCTGGCAAGGGTGCTGCCTTTGTAGTCAGTGCAGTAATCTAAATGAGTGGGTTTAAAACTTCAGGTTTCTTCCTTCACAGCAGGTAAGTGAAGCTGTGAGTCTTTAAAAAAAGAGACTGATTCTTAAACATGTGGGATAGATGTGAACATTGATAGTAGCTCTCCCAGGGATCTACTGAGCCAACATTTGCAAATAAGTAGTTATAATATGAAGATATGTGAAATTACCAGTCCACTGGTCAGCAGGTCAAACCCAGAGAAATTCCACTATAGATCTTAGAGCTAAAATCGATCATGTCCTGTAGTCCTGCTATGTTGATGCCAGGTCACTCTGCACTTTATTTCTACAAGTTAACACCCTGCCTCTCAAACTGCCTTTTTAAAGGTGACTTTGTCCCCTGCCTTTACCAGCCTATAGGTATACAAAACACTTTGTGATTTGTCTCCAACAGGACAACAGTTATGTCAACTTCTTCACATGAGAACAGATGCTAACTTTCCTCTAGGATCTTTGAATGACCTTTCATTTTGGCTGTATATTTTAAAAGAAAAACAGTTCATTAAGAGAGAAGGAGGGATTTTTTCCCCTACAAGTTATCTAGCACACCCTCTCATGATTGATGCAGATTATGTTGAAAATATCTCTTTGATACATGTGATATAGTGCTCAAGAATCAATTTAAGTCGTTTGTCCTTCCAGAGTGTTGTTACTTTCAGAATCTCACTTTACGTAAAGATTTTATCTTTAGCAAGCTAAACCTGCTGTAACTGGAGTGCAGTTATCCCCTTTCCTTCTATGGAAACCACCCATCAGCATAGATGTAAATTTTAAGACCAGATGATTACAACTATTTCTTTTAATCCATATTCTGCAAAACTCAGATCGATATAAGGCTGAAGTTTCTGACTACTTCCTCAAGCAGAGTAGCCTTGATCCAACAGAGGGAAGGGAACAGGTAAACAACTGAAACAAGATTGACCCCCGTTCACTATTTGAGGATCGCATCTCTGAAAAATTATGTTGACAGATTTGCACCACAACCCTCGGCTGTACGGTTTGTCATGTGCAACAACATGAGGGAATCTGGGTGAGGATTAATTTGTTATGTGCTTCTGTCTCCCCCAATATTCTGAATTATGTATTTAAAGAGCAGGGTAATGGATGTGAAGAGAGAACATTACATTGAAAGAACAAGTTCTGTGTTAAAGTTTACACCAGATGCATCTCAGTAACCTGGACACAACTTGCAATAAATAGCTCCATTTTGGAAAATAACATTCTTTACTGGCAAGCACTCTTCTGTAAACTGTACTAATACTGATATAGGCACTGCTTCTTATGTTTTTTTAGGCTCTGTGCGTGTCATAATCTTTCATACAAATTCCTGTGTCCCTTCTCATTTTCCTTTCAAAAGGTTAATCTCTATGCAGAAAGGCTTGTGTGGGATTTAAATACAGGTTAAAAGAGCAAGGATCTGTATTCAGAGGCTAAAGGAGTTTTAAAAATGGACTTCTCATGAAAATCCCTCTTCACAGAGAACACCTTTCACTGAAAGGCACCAAGGGTTTGCTCGGCTGTTTGGCTTGAACATCCTTGATACCAAGGGCACAACATTTTACAGGATTAAGCTTCACATTATGCAAATTACTCTATCAAGACCGATTCACCTCTCCAAGTTGTTTTTTGCCTTCAGGAAGGTATGATCTCATTCAACTGTAAATACTAATCTATTTCCCAGATGGCACACAGCCTTGCATTCAAAAACAACAGGCAGCTCGAATACAAAAGTCCCCTGAAAATATGTGGCAGTATCTCCCTATTCAACTGGTATCTTCATCACCTCATTCACTTCATTGTGTGGGATACATCCAGGTGCTTTGCAGATTGCTAGGCTCATAAATCCTTTAACTCAGTTGATATGACAAGCCCACTACAGTACTTATATTCCCACTGTTTTGTTGTGAGGGATATAAAGTAGAGGCACTTATGGCAACTGTTTCAGGTAAGCATCAGCAGCTCTAGTTCAAAGTTCAGCCTTTGTGAATACAGACATGGAACTGCACAGCAAGACCAGGAGGTTCAGTCGAAGAGAGAGATGTAATCTGGTTCTTGGTCCTCTTGGCCACATGGGTAAAGCAACAGCTCCTTCCCCAAGGAAGTGATGGGTTCGTCCTGTTGAGATAGGATGTAATTAAACATCACCTTTCAAACAGACCCGACCTACTTATCACAACATCACGGGGCAGGCAGCAGTCTTCCTGCCTCTGTTACGGTGTGGACTTGTTCATCCCTCTGAGTGACACAGCTCAGTGCTCTGGGGAACTCAGGGGAGGTCCCACATGGCTGACCTCGGTCTTCATAAAACAATGTCTGTGCTCGGTGCAGGAACCCAGTGATGTGACTCTGGCAGTTCTCAGAAGGAGCTGCGCTCGTCTTGTAGGCAGCCACAGCTTCTGTGGCGTGAAATGCTGTCCTGCCTAGGAAGTGCTGGAGTGAGGACTGTGCAGCATGCAGGTAAGCAGGATGGGGTGGTTGTGGACCATGCTCCTGGCTGCATTGGAGGGACAAGGGTGGGTCCTGGAGTGAGCACATGCCCTCTGCTCAGGCAAGCCCTGTTCTAACAAAGGAATTCCTTGATAGTTCAGTCTCTGATTCACACCTCGTTCCCCACCCTAGCAGCAGATGCATGGTGGGAACTTGCCTTCTTTCGTGGTCACCTGGTGGGCAATAAGCAGAACCCACCAGAGCCCTTCAGCAGAGTGGGTTCACCCTGCCCATGTGTGCTGTAGTGCAGAGGGTCTGTAAGATTCTTTGCAGATTGTGGACTTGGCTCTATCTCTAATATAGCTATGCGCAGCTAGGCTTTAAATCCTCTGGCTCTGGTACAGTATAGCTCCTGCTTTCAACAATTTCAGCCTGCACTATGAAAACCATGCAAGAGGCAAGTTCAGGTAGCCCAGGTAGAGCTCCACATAGTAAATGAACATAGATGTTTTCCTTATGTCCAATTATGTTTAGTCATGTCTGTATTAGGCTACGCACTTATTTAAAAGAAACACAGACTTTAAATGAGCCTTTAGGCAAAATGATTGTCCTGTCTTTGGGCAGCTCTTACAGTAAAGGAATGAACAATCCACCTGGCCCTCCTTGGAGCCCATGTGTCTGCAGTCAGCACTAATAAACACTGCAGTTATTGTTGCAAGAAGCTGCCAACCTTCTTCCTTCCCTCCTACTTCTTATCTTTACTCAATATCACACCTTGTCTGCTTTGAGATTATAAACATACCTTGTTCTCTTTTATGCTGAAGCTGGAGGAAAGCAGAATTTTCTGCTTAACCAACTTGCCAGGACCCCACAACAGCAGAGAAAATCCAAAAAAACTGGAGTCTGCACGAGTATGATGCCACCTCTCACCTTATCAGCATTTCTACCAAATAGTGTGCAAGGTGTTCTGCACACTTGAGGAGTGAGTCAGGTCTAAGATGCTTGAGATGTGTTAGGTCACCTGAGGTGTACCCATCAGGCTGGCATACCCTTCTGGAACAGCACACAGGATACCCAGCGGCAGCTAAAATGGGTCTAGTTACCTACTTTAAAAGAACTGAATCTATTCAGTGCCCAGAGGCAATTAAACAAAGAGTTAATGAATGCATTGCTAGATGTTCACCTTGTGGTAGTCTACAAGGTCGGCCAGTGTTGAATGTTGTAGCTGGTCCACTCCAAGGAAGCTGTAGGAATCACTGGAGGCATCGATGAGGAAGTGTTTACACCCTTCCACAGACCGATAGGAGAGCACGTAGCCTTTGATTTTCTCACTGACCCGGACCAGAAAACTCCCTGGTACTGTTTTATTCAGAAGCTCCTCTGCTTTCTTAGAGGTTAGGATACCTGTTCAAAACCAAAACACAAAACTGAAGGGAGGAAAACATTTGTGCAGGACTGGATGGAACAGTTCTCACAAGAAACCTGCTTTACTGCTCTAAACCCAGTCCATGGCACTCCCACCACTTGCACTGTTTTCTTGCCCAGCATCCTAGAAAGAACAATACTGCCATTGCTAGTAACAGACTATGGCCATGTGCTAACTGTGCTTTATGTTATCAGTTCCAGACTCGGCCCATTATGAATGATAAATGTGCAGGGCTCAAAAGAACAGTTTCTCTGTTATGAGAGAGAATGGCGTTGCAGTGTGTTGTATGTTGATTCTAGTATAGCAGTGCTGTGCAGACAGTGATCACAGGTCCTGTCAGAAAGCCATGCAAGCATTGACAGACAAGTTACAACATGATAGTGCTTTCATTGCTGCAGTCTCAGATCGAAAGGGTTTCCAAAGCAAGGCAGATGGATGGGATCAAAATGACCCTTTGGAAATGGAACGGAAAGGTAGTGGATGATGAGCACATATGGAGGGACAATGATCTGGGGCCAAGGACGAGTGGGATGAGGTGTGCCCAAATCTCTCTCACCGTTGTCCAAACAGTTGCCAGTGTGACCATAGAATGGTTTGGCTTGGAAGGGACCTTAAAGATCATCTAGTTCTGACCCCCCTGCCACGAGCAGGGACACCTTCCCCCAGCCCAGGGTGCTCCCAGCCCCGTCCAACCTGGCCTTGAACCCTTCCAGGGAGGGGGCAGCCACAGCTTCTCTGGGAAACCTGTGCCCGTGCCTCACCACCCTCATAGTGAAGTATTTCTTCCTTATGTCTGATCTATATGTACCCTCTTTTAGTTTAAAGCCATTACCCCTTGTCCCATCACTACATACCCTTGTAAAAAGTCCCTCCCCAGCTTTCCCCTAGGCCCTGTTTAGTATTGGAAGGCCGCTGTAAGGTCTCCCCAGAACCTTCTCTTCTCCAGGCTGAACAATCTCAACTCTCTCAACCTGTCTTCATATGAGAAGTGCTCCAGCCCTCTGATCATCTCGCATCCATACATCCAGTGCAGCGAAGGCAGGGGTAGCACAGAAGTACAGGGTATTGGAGGTTCTGGCCTCTGTTCTAACACTTAGCTTGCCCTTTGTCATAATGCTAAAGGAATTAAAATTGCATTCATATATATTTAAAATGGAAAACCTAGCCACCTTTGAAAAGCTCCTGGTCCCACCCTGTGGCAACAGCCAAGTTAGCAGAAACAACTCCTTAAAGAGCTGGGTTGGGGTAGAAATGCTCAGGACTCACCGTGGAACCAAGGTGCTATTGTGTCCATGGTTTTCTGATAACCAGCTCGGAGAGGGAATTGTTCCTCTTTGAACCACCTGATGATGCTTTCTTCAGTGGAATTGGAGATTGTCCTCTGGATTCCCTCTTTCCTATTAGAAAAGACCATGGTTTGTGCATCAAGTTCAACTGACAGCTTTTGAGTCCTTGACAGGACTTACCTTTTGTTCAAGATGTTAAGAACAGAAGGCTTACACTAGTGCAGCTGTCAGCATAGAGATGTACTCTAGGCTTAGGGCACTCTACTAAACAAGCCTGTTACCCTTCAGGGGTGAACAAATAAGCCTCATCACAGACCTAGGCTGAAATATAGCCTAGGCTCTGTATTTTTCCCTGTGAGGTGTCTCCTCTACACAAGGAGGAGAGCTAACCATTCCCATCTCAACCATCCCATGCTAGAGCCAAAGAATCTCATCCCTTCTCCCCTCCACAGTGCACAGAGGTTCCTCACCTAATTGGTCTCCCATTTTCCATCACAGGAGGTAGAAGTTTAGGCTTGGGGGGGAGAGGTGGATATTGGAGTGGTCGCCGATCTCCTGCTGTGGCACCCTTGGAAATATCTGCCTGCTTCCCTCTGTGGATGCCCTGCAGTGAAAGCCTCCTGTAGTCGTCTCTGGCTTGCCGTGCAAGGGAGCGTCTCTTCTCATCTGCTGCCTTGGATTTCCGCACTGGAACAGAAAAGGAGTCCTACAGGAGCGAACAAGCAGGCAAGTTTTAAGCTTGCTGCCCTTTGTCCATCTTCCTGCTTGATGAAGTGGAAGAATAACCCATTTCACAAGATGACATGCACTCAATTGTGAGACCATTTGCCACATGTCTCCCATTATTTTTGGTCACCCGTTACTTAACATGGTCCATTTTTTATTCCTTCAGGAGATTAAAAATCTGGGTTCTTTCTGGGCACCAGGTCCCTTGGTACTTAGAGACTACTTGGTTTTGTTTCAGATGCTGACTTCTGTTTCAGACATATATTTCTGTAGTGCCTTTCATGTGAGCTGGTGTGTGGGGAGGGCGTATGGAATAACAGCTGCTGAAATGACCCCAAATCAATCCTTTGAAGGATTTGGAAGTGCTAATATTTTTTTTGGAGGGTGGGAGGGAGCCTTGCTGAAACTGTTATGGAAAGTGGAGAACTTGGTTGTTTGGTTTTGTTTTGTTTTGGTTGTTTGTGTTTTTTTGTTTGTTTGTTTGTGTTTTTTTTTTGTTTTTTTTTTTTTTTTTTTTCTATGAAACTGTCTTGATCATCTAGGTCTAGCTCATCCTGGAATCTGTAGGAGTAACCAGCTCTCCAGTCAGTCTGAGTTAGGCTAGTTCTTTCCTTGCTTTTGTAATCAATTATTTATTTATTTATTTATTTATTTTTATCAGTAAGAAAAATAAAACCCCTGGCCTGAAGTGGAAGCAGTTGGTGGCACAGCATTGCCATCTACTGAACAGCAGGGAAGGAACTGGGGAAAAAAGATGCATCAGGTTTTCCTTCAGGAAGTATTTGACAGTGGTGATGGACGATACTGCAAGTCTCGTACTGTTTGCTGGTTTTCTTCTTATCATTGGGATTCATTACACAAGACAATGCAGCAGGGCTCTGCCTAAGTGGGTTCACGCTTGGATGACAGGGAAGCCCTTTTTAGTTAGTCCCTCTCACCCACTATCCTTGTCCTTAAGAGCAACAGTTACTGCAAAGTCTTTGAAAAGGCCAGCTTCTAGTTTATCCTGGCTATACTCACATGATTCCTATTTTTCGCTTGTTTTAATAGGAAACATTTTCCATTTCCCTGCCCAGTTCTATTCTCAATGCTGTATTAACTCAGAAATATTTCTGATAATGCAGCGCTGTATTTCTTGGCAGTACTCTCCACCCACCAACCGGTTATTGAGTTCCAGTGTGGCAGGAGAAGGACTGAGATGACCCCACAGAGTCCTAGGATTTCTCAAGCCTCATAGCAAAAGTTCAGTCTAAGATCTTACAGGATTCCTGCCATTCAGGCTCGTTCTCATCCGATTTCTGCAGTGTCCTCTGGCTCTCCAAGCTGGGGTGGCTCTGTGGTATTGTCTCCTGGGGGACTGTGGTCTCTTCTGAATTTCTCCTCTGTGCTTCCTTCATCTGTGAAAGAAACAGTATGTACGGCTTCGTCCCAAGCTAGTTTTAACCCTGCTTTTTACTTAGCCTTGAAATACTGTGAACTTCGTTCTTTATTGTGAATCCTTCCAATTTCGACAACATACAGACTCTCTGTATTTACTGCAGGTGACAACAGAGGAAGTATGGGAAAACAGTCTACCAGAAATCATCAGAAGCCTCTCCCTGTGCTGCTCCCCAGTTTGCCAGCCTGGCCTGCTTTGTGTCATCTCCAAATTGTCACACCATACAGGAGGAGCATGGCAATTCTGTATAAAGCTGGTCCAAGAGATGAGGATGTTCTTGGGTCAGATGAGGCTCTGAGGCTGACTGGAACTCTTAGGATAAAGTCTGGGTCCCATTTAATGTGTTAGGAGCATTCTAGGTCACCACTTACCTGTTGGAAGCCCTGCTTCCTCACATGACAGTCTGCCAGCATCTGGTGAACATCTCTGGTTTCCCTCTGGGTGGAGAAAAATAGCAGTGAGAAATAAATATATCATTAAGACCATTGCTCTTTTTTTGGAGCAATAGGTGTTCAGTGCAGAAACAGTGCTGTGACAGTTATGTTAACAAATTTTGCCAGCCTTCTCTGACAAACGTTGACTTTTTTTCCTCATATTAGGCCTAATATGCCACAGGAGGAGAACTCAGCAGTGTCAGAATTGTCATAAGCACACCTAGATTTGCTAAGCGATGCTCCTAAGTACTCCCAGGGAGCAAACCCTCCCCTCCCTCCCTCCCTCTCTCTAAAGCACACCCTAGCAGAATCTGCTGTCCACAGCTTTACCTGCATGTGCTCTGTTTGCTGCTGGGGCTGGGGTGCTGCAAACCCCTGCTTGTCAAACTGACCCAACTAGCTGCGAACATCTCCGTGTTCGTGCTTTCCTGCAAACCAGTCTAGCCACCCTGGCAGCAGCTGCTAGCTGAGACCTGCCTTTGAAGACAAACAGTTAGACTTGTCATTGAGCAAACACCCACCCACCTCCCCATTGGACCCAGACTGCCTCCCACGGCGCGGTGAGTAATGAGTTAACTGTACTATGCTGCTTACCAAGGACATGCTTTGTTTTCTCTCCATCCCCTACTTGGCTAATATTTAATAGGAACATGGCTTTCCAATCTCCCTCTCCTTGACAGGAAACTAGGAACTTCAAAAGTGTGTGAAGCAGCTTGTTTTCATAGAGCAGCCCCCATCCCCTATAGCAGACAAAGCACAGTGCCCAGATCCCTCAGGTGAAAGGGGAACTAGGTCTCAAAGAAACAACTTGAAAGAGGGAGGTGAGAAAAATCCCCTCTCCAGGCCTAAAAAATGCAACAACAGTCTTCAGTCTGGACCCCTCTATCTAATAACAAAAGCCCCAGAAACCTGGAAAAAACTACTAATAATGTAACAACAGAAAACAAAATGCATACATCCCCCCTCTATGTCCATGCAGAAGACTTTGAAAGGGGTTTGGATATTTTTTTGGTGGTGGGATTTTTGGATTTTTTTTTTTTTTTACCTTTTTTTTGCTGTTGTTAGCTATGACTAATAACTTCCTCTGAAAGGAAAAAAAAAAATCTCCCACATAGTTGCTCAGCTTCAGCAAACAGTGCTAAGAAAAATCCCATGTGACTCAGAGGCTTTTGATAAAGGAGACAGCGGCTCCAATTTCTCTTCAGTATTTTGGTAGCAGCAGGAGAGATGCTTTGCCAAAACCCAACCTTCAATTTTCATGCTTTTTATGCTGAAATATGGAATGGCTGTATAATAAAAAAATATTCACTCATACAAGTTAACAACAAAAGGCTGAATGAAAACTCTGCTGAACGAGATTGGACTTCTCCCATTAAATTGACAGGGTGTTCTGTTCCTTCTGTTCAATCTGGGTTGCATGGGAAGTTAATTTAACTCATCTTTTTCTTGGTTCTCTGTAAATGGCTTTTTGTAGCCAGTTAAAAAGTAGAAATGTATTTATTGCTGGAGAAAAATATTTCTGTAATGAAACACCACAGCAAAACACACACTGTAGTTACTACATTTGGAGTTGCCCTGTGCTGCCAAGGATGTAAGTTATTTTCTAACTATTTTAGAAGACACAGACACAAAAAAAGAAGAACCTAAAATATACATGTCTGAGACTGCTGGTAAAATTATCTTCATCTGTAGATGACTTGTCTGAGAGCCATGACCTTGTACATACAGATCCTGGGATAGCCTCCCTGATCTTGCCCCAAAAGCCATCCAAACCAGCCACAGAGGAGGAGGAAAAGTACTGCAACCCTTGTTTTACCCACAGAGAATGAAAACAAAGTAATCTGGAGTAATTTATCTGTCAGTACAGAGCAGGTCTGTCCCAGCTGAGAATAGCACTTGGACCTCCCAAGTCCTAAGGAAGGGAATAACAACACACCTTCTTCTCTGACTACAGAAGAAAAGCTTTAACAACTAGCTGGCTTTTTTTCTTCTTCAAATTTCTATTTACAGCAACCAGGATTTGCTGCACTTCCTAGATCTCAAAGCACATGTTTCTGATAGCTATAGAGAATAGGGGGAAAACTACCTTTGTGAGATTCTGGCTTTTCCCTGTTGTAGCAGCAGCAGTTTTCCTCCCACCTTCCTTCTTTTCCTCCACAGTGCTTTTTTTATTTCTGTGAAGATCTGTCTCGCCCAGGAATCCTGGTTGTGCATGTAGAGACCGTGTCACAGAAGAGTCAGTCTCTCTGAAATGCAAGAGAGAGACAATTTAGGAACTCCAGGGAGTCACTTTCTGCTCCCTGAGCATCTTGTGAAGATGCTGCACATGAGCAGAGCAGTGCTGCGATGAAGCGATGCATGTGCAGGGAGCTTATCATATCTCCAAATCAGCTAAGTGGAATAATTAAATTAATGACTTGTGGTGAGTAACTGTTGTCCTGCTGCACACAGGCACCTGCCAGTGAATCAGTGCAATCCAAACTCATCACCTGCTGCCATAACAGATTTAGCATTTCCTGTGGTCTGCAGAGAGCACCGCACAGGAGCCGTATTATGGGGGGCTCCATGAGCCGGGGCAAGACCAGGCTGGAGCTGGTTTCTGCCAGCGTTGCCTGTACTCACAGAAAGCCAACCATTGCCTGTGCCTTTTGCCTGCAAGTTGAGTGTGACAGTGGTAACCACAGCCCCTGCAGAGAAGGCTCCAGCCTCCGGGTCCCTAGAAATGCCTTTTCCTCCGTGTCTGCCCACCAAGTCCTCCAGCTGAAGTGTGCTTACCTGCCCTCCTTGCCTTGCTCTCTCGCTAACCGCTTTGCCCTTTGTGCCTGGATCTCCTCACAGATGGCTGCGTACGACTTATCTGAAGGATGCTCGCCCATCACCCAGACCCAGACATCGTTGTCAGCGCCGAGCTTCCATGTCACTGACTTCCCGTTGGCTGGAAAAGAAGCAGCTCTGTGGCAAATGCTTTTTGCTTGGTGGCTCCATGCGGGGCCTGTGTCCCTCCTGCTGTGCCCTCCTGGCTGCTGCTGCTGCTGGGTGGCAGAGCCTCTCCGAAACCAGCTGTACGTGGGGAAAGCTCGGCTGGGATGCAGCACGCACCTTCCGTTTCATTTCATGGTACTGAAGCCAGAGCAGTGAAGGGGAGGCATTTCTGAGTCTGGGGGCAAGGGAGAGGACTCACTCCTGTTTCCTTTCTTGCTTTAATTCCTTGCCACTGCCCTCCCCAAACTGTGTGAAGGTGAACTACTTGCAAACAGAGCACGTGGGGGAGAGCTGGGAGAAGTGTGCTATCTCGCTAGCAGCTGACATGCTGTGTAATCCTGGCAAGGGGACTTCAGGTCTAAAGGCACAATGGGAACCCCCCTGCAGATCTGGTGCCCCATGACAGGCATTCAAGTCCATGGTTATTTGACAGACAGATTCAGAGTTCCCATTTAGTGGAAAACTTAATGAGGTGCATCTCCTGGGGGCAAGTAAGCCCTGTCTTCCCAGCTAGGGGAGTTGAGCAATTTGGTCAAGGACATAGAGTCTGGGCCAGGGAGAAAAGCCATTGCATGTCTGGCCAAAACTACGCCATCACAGGTGGGTTTAGTTGCAGTTTGGAAATATGGCTATGATCTGTCCCTGGGAGAAGAAATTACTCTAAGGACACATTACCTCCTATTTCTAGGGAGCAGTTGACTCAGCCAGACCTGTGCCAGAGGGGGAAGCAGCCGGCAGGCAGAGACTTACCTTTTCTTGGCAGTGGCTTCTTTGCTGAAGCCTTGTCTGCAGCAGCTTCTCTTTCCTCCCACCGTCTGATCTGTTCCTGCCTCATCTTGAAGAAGAGGATCTGCTTCTGCTCCTCGCTGAGTTCTGCCAGTAGGTCAGGATCGATGTACATGTCTGATAATATCTGTTTCAGCATGGCTGCGGGTTTCAGTTACACACGTTTGTGACGATGATCTCCAGGGATCAGGTCCTCTTCCTGGCTTCCACAAGAAAGAGTCCCTCCCCGCCTGAGCCTGGAGCAGGAATGCAGGCGTGCCAGAGTAATTATACTTCTGTCTTTTTTTTTTTTTTTTTTTAGCTCAGACTTCCTGCGCAGACCAAAAAAGTAAATAAGTAGCTTAAAACCTGCTGTTAAGATTCCTTGAAATGAGAGGTGAGCTCAGCTCCCATATAGCCCCTGCCCGCTCTGCAGGGAGAGCTGGCCAGGAGGGATGACTTCTGCAGTGGAGAGGTTGTGTTGATACTCTGATAAACCCAGCTGATAGTATATCAGAGGAAGGAGAGCTGCCTGTTACAGTCATCAGAGGTGCGGCTTGGCTGTGCCCAGGCAAACATTCCTGCTGGGCAGGGAATCAATGAACCCATGACTAGACGGCTCCTCCTCCTTCCAAAGCGGAAAACTTTGATGATCAAAAGCCCAGCTGGCCTTGTTTCACCAAAGAAAGATGCGTCGGGCTTTTGGCTCTGCTTTTGAGGTGGGAGTGGGAATTTTGGGGTGCTCATGCCCATCAAAGGCAGCCTCACAGCAAGTCAAGGGAGCACAAGCAGTGCAGCTGGTTTGAAGAAAGACAACTTGGATGGTCAGCAGCTGAGGAGCTGAGACAGGTCCCGGTCTGACACGTCTTGCTGATGGACCTTACCCACACAGTGAGCCTGGCATGGGACATCCCTGTCTGACAGGACGCGGTGGGGAGGTGCAGTGACCAGGAACTGGGGATGAGCCTTCCCATTTCTGTTTTGTTTCTCTAGTTACTTTATATTTTCCCTATTTAAAATGTTAATTCTAGAAGCATGGAGCTGCTGTTCCAAATCTGTATTGCTTTCGTTTAAACAAATGGCTTCCTTGACTTAAAAAGAAAAAAAAAAAAAAGCTTTTGGGAGGAGGTGATCTCATCTGGGTAATGCCATCTGAATATCCCCCTGACAGCAGAATTGTTCCAGCTCAGCAGCCAAAGGGGCTTGGGCTGTCCTTGAGCCGTGGGGGATGGCAGCTGTAGAGAGGGAAGAGCTTTTTGTGGGGAGGGTCTTGGTGGGCAGTCCCTCATCCCTCGGGGTACTTGAACTGTCTGTTAAACTGCAAAACTGGTGGACACTGCTGGAGGATTGCAGTTTAAGCTTCACTGCCTCATGCTCCTAAGCAGTACCTGAAAGAGAAGTCATTTGCAAACAGATCAGGGTGTCAGAAAAGCATCTTTAGCTAGAAACAGGTGTCTAAAGCTTTGAGTTGTGTTTTTTTAGGTCAGTTCAACACAAGACAGTATTAAGGACACACATTCTGGGGCTTATTTTAGGTAAGCTGATGTCTTTAGAAGGTACTTGATGTTGCTCTGATTGTAGAGAATCTGAAAATCTCTTTGTCTGAGTCCAAGGTGGGTTTTGTTTGGAGAAACCACCAGGGTTGCATCCTTTGTGGATCTGAAACAGTAACTGAAGTGGATGGTAGCTCTGGGCATGGTCTGAGCTTGATGGTCTGGCAGAGATGCTTTCCATGGGCTGACAGAAATTAATCACAATGTCTAAAATTGAAGGGGCTTTTAACAAAAGACACTTGTTGCATGTAGGGAGGTGAAACGCTTTTATTCCGTTCAGGTGAGAAAGGAATTTGTGGTCTGTGTGGGCCAAATGCCAAGTGGTTTTGTTAAACAGAGGGCACTCAATGTCTTGCTCAGGGGGAAAAAAGGCCAGGCAGCTTCTCTGGCTCTGTCTTCTAGCTCTGGAAAATTTATAATGCTTTGTCCCAAAGGTACCCTTTAAAACACTAGCTATTTTAACACCGGGAAAACACATAAGCATTTTGAGGGTTGCAGTGTTTTTTTTTAGCAGCCACTTCATTAAAGATCTTAAGAGCTGGAAGTCCTTGTAATATCAGTCATATGCTGTTCCCAAAGTTTGAACGAAAGCTGTATTACTGACACTTGGCCAGAAGTGTTTTTGCTGACGCTGTTCCAGCTGTAAGTAGTATATTTACAGCTCAGACGTCGGGAAGCCAAGCACTGCAGTAATGTCAGTGGGACCTCTGAGCAGGTAACTCGTAGGAAAATTCTGGCAGAGGTCTTGTTAAGCTATTACTTGTGTTTTTTTCATGGGAGTGAGAGGTAGGAGCTGGTTCTGTGGAGGAATAGGAGAGGAGAGTAGCAAAAAAATAACAAAGATTAAGTGGGGGAAGGTGGGAAGCCAAAACATGGCTTCTGGGGCTCTACCACTAGTATATAAGATAGTTGAGTTGAAAGCCATAAAGGTAAATGTGATTCGGAGGTTAAATGACCCTTCAAAAATCAAGGTTATGCAGCATTTAAATCACCTGCTTGAGAGCAGCCTCTTCCCTGTGCTCCTGTAATCACCTACCATTAACAGGGGAAACATGAGTCTGTGAATACACATAGAAGAGCAATTGCTTTGAGAGGAGCTGGCACGAGTTCCTGCTCACAAGTGCAGTGGGTGACACTTCGGCCACCAACAGGCTGACGGGACACCCCGGTCTGGCATCCGAGTCCTGGCTGTCACCATCAGTGCTGCCAGTAGAGGGAAAGGTTCTCCAAGAAAACGATAGACAAACATAGATAGGCATTCGATATGAATTACACCAATAAATCAAAAAGGAGTGTGTAAAATGAAATAGTGGACGAGTTGAATGGTGGTTCTTGTGCTGCACACATCTCTACTGTAAACATGACAGTAACTTTGAACTAAAAATACCCCAAGAAACTCAAAGGTGAGAAGGAAGGAGAACACAAGAAAAGCTGCTTCAGGGTACAGCCTGATGAGCTAAGAGCATTTCCACTGTCAGAAAGTGGCTTTTGCCATAAAAAGCACATTAGACCAAGTTGTTCAGAAAATGATGGGACTACATTGCTTTGAATCAAGAGCTTCTCCTTGAAGCTGGCATGCTGTTCAGCAAAAAGTGTCTGCAGAAGCACCATCAGGAATTATTGTCTCTGGCCAAGAAGATGGGCCATGCGAGTGCAATAGAATTTAATTTCCTTGCCGAATTAAGCCCCGCAGCACCAAGGAGATATTTTGCTCAGGTTTTGCTGGATTTCTCCAGTTCCAGCCACTCCAATGCCATCACCTCTCTGCCAGAATTTAGGAGGGGCTTTCTGATTTTTTGCAGATGTTGAAGCAAAGCAGAATTACCAAACCCACCACAAATCAATGCAGCTAAAGGTAATCGCTCCCCAAACCCTGCTCTCAGTGCACAAGCCTTCATGTGTTAACTGTCACACATTGGTTCATAAAATGCACTTTTCTTAGAAAATGTTTATGTTAACAGCTGCACCGGCAAGGTTACTACCAAAATAGCCTTCTGGGCTTTGGGTTTTTTACAGTCTTTGTTGGTTGGTGGTTTATTTGTTTTGTTGTTGGTGTGGTTTGTTTTTGTTTTTTTTTTTTTTTTTTCCTTTATTTTTTTAATCCTCATCCTATTCTAAATAGGAGAGTGATTCAATCATCTCTTTCTGTTTAATTTTTGCTTCATCCTACTATTTTCTGTTTCAGAAGGACGGAAAGCTCCTGGTTTGGTCATAACAGAAGGAAAACATGACTGTATAAACGTGGCCCTTGGAAGACAGAACTAGACCTGGTTGTATCTTATTTAGCATAAATAGATTCTGTATAAGGCTGTCATATAACACTTGAAAGAACAAAACCATTGAAGTCACCACAATATGAACTACCTTGAAATCACCTATGGCTGAACTACTTTGCCCTAAAGGTCCCTGATTTTGCTGGAGGGGGCAGTGGTTATCTTATAGCAGGCACAAGTGGATGGGGATGGCAATAAGGAAAAATAATTTGATATAGCAACCACTATTGAACACAGTTTGAAGCCACATGGCCCTGCTTTCAAGAAAAAGGTTTCTTCCATGCTAGAATTAAGTACAAATACTTCTTGATCTAGACATAGTGAGAATCATCTTCCTACATCAAAATTACTTGGGGAACTACGAATGAAAAGGTCAGTGTGGTGAAAAGATTGAGGGTGCCTATAGGTTAACACACAGGATCAGCTACCCAATCAAACCCAGACACGGTAAGAAAGGAATTTTTCTAGCCCTGATACCTAATTTAGTCTGTTTGCAGGTTTTGAACAACTTTGAGCAACAAGCTTTGGGGCTTTTTTGAAACGCAAACTGCAACATTTATTTTTGCTAATTGCACTGAATGGCTTTGCTAGGGGAAAGACTGTTCTTGCAAGCAGGAAGGAAGCTATTGTGAGTAGCGCTAGGCACACAAAGCTGCCATTTATATTTTCCACATATATTCACTGTTTGAAGCCCACGGTTGTTCTGCACTGATGTAGTTTTGCCACTGGAAGCCACAGGGCAAGTGAGAAGCATTGGGCCAGGAGCAACGCTGAGCCTCTCAGCCCTGGTGAGCCTAAGGGCTGTGGTGCCGGGGCCCAGGTCTGTCCCAGTAGTTATGTGGGGGCTGCCCTGCGGGAACAAGTGCACCCTGATGAGTCTGATTCTGTCCAAAACCTCTCTGATTTCAGAAATGATATGTTTTTAATACATTGTTTGGGCATTGTGGAAATATAAGATAAAACACATGTCATGTGTTGATATAAATTCTGTAAGGAGAAGGAAGGACATTCAGTTCTTGCCTATAGCTATAAACTGCTTTTAAAACTACATGCAGTTATTAAATAGCATGTGATACTAAGGGGAACAAATTATTTGCACAAAGATGAGGCACCAGGAGGGCAGGGATCTGTGTGTCATCCCCCAGGGGACTCTTGGGGAAAATAAAGGGAATATTGGGAGAGAGAAAACGTGGTGAGAGGCATGGGTGGAGAGGGTTGTGTCAGATGGCAGGGGTGAGGCAGAAGCTGTTCTGGAGGAACAAAGAGCAGGAATTCAGTTTTCTCTTGCAAATAAAGTATGCTGCACACCCACTGATCTCCCCTCTCTGCTAGCCCATGTGTGACACCCCTCGTTTGCTTGGGCTTGGCGCTCAATGCACAGCCCTGGTTGGAGTCAACGCTTTCAACAGCAGCAACCAGGAAGTGTAACGAGGCCGTGGGGTTTTAACCAATTTTTGGAAGAACAGGTATGAAAGCAGGTTTGCTCCCGTTTCTGTTTGAAGCTCTTAGGAAGATGAAAGCATCACACCTCTTCAGCAGTGCTGGGTGTCCCCATGTCACCGGCGGCCCTCTGCGGAGGCCAGCCCCCGCGGCTCCCTCTTTTCCCAGGCACACACTTGTTCCCACACCTTCCCTGTCCTCACAGAGTCCCCCTCGCTTACCTCTGTCACTCCACAGCCTCAGGGACACCTGATCCAGTGTGGGCTCGTCCACAAGCTTCGGGTCGGCCTCTGCTCCACCGTGGACCATCATGGGTGGCAGGGGGGGCGGCCCTGCTGTCTCACCACAGGATACAGGGGGGTCTGCTCCAGTGCACCTCCCCTGCTTCCACTGGCCTGGGTGTTTGCATAGGTGTGATTCCTGTAATGCCTCATCACAAGTCCCCAACCCGCTCCCAGGTTCCCCCTTCTTCAATTATTGCAAAGACGCAGCCACCATCACTAACTGGCTCAGCCTTGGTGCAGAGGTGGGTCTGACTTGGAGCTCTGGTTGCTTCGAGAAGCTTCTCACAGGGGCCATCTCTGTAGCCCCCTCCCCTGCTACCAAAAAACCCTGCCACACAAACCCAGCACACTCTGGCAGTGGGGTGCATCTGGGGGGATGCCCAGGGAGGCAAGAGAGGACCAGAGGATGGGGGCTGCAATCATGTTCCCTTACAGCAGGAGCTGTCCTGGGGGAGGTGGGACTGGGACACAGGCAGCTGTGTGGAACTCGAGGGTGGGGGTCCAGTTATATTGGTCCCCAAACCTTGGGAGGCTGGCATGCACCAGGCCGAACTCAACATCTGAGATAGTCTTAGGGGAAAAGGCACTTTTCACACCATTTTTGTCTGTCCAACTCTTTATTCAAGGCGTGTACAACAGCCAGAATAGTCATTAACTCATTAGTCCATAATTAGGCAGTGTACAGTTATGACAGTTCATATGCAAGTTATGACAGTGATTGATTTACAACCTTGTCAAAAGCCAAGATCACTTGAACAAGCACATGCTGTAATTAACTGAAGCAGAAATGAACTGGAGCTGGAGCCACAGCCCAACTGGAACTGCAAATAAGCTGGAGCCAAAATGAAGCCAGAGAAGGTGAAACCCAACTGGAGCCTAAAACGGGCGGGAAGCAGGAACAAGCGGGAGCTGGACCTGGAACAAACCAGGGGCAGAAACAAATGAGCTGGAGCCACAAATGAACCGGAGCTGAGACTACCTGGAGCTGCAAACAAACTGGAGCCGTCCTCGAGCTGAAGCAGAAACAAAATGGGGGCTGAAGCAACTGACCCAAAGCCACTGACCCAGTGCCTGCAGTGTCTCCAGGCAGGCTCAGGCAGGGCTGTCCCCAGCCAGGGCTTGTGCCCACCCGAGTGGGTTCCCCCCATGTCTGGAGATGTTTGTGGGCACAGGGGTGGCTGTGCCCATCCCTGCAGCCCATCCCAAACCGGAGCCAGGATCGGGAGCCACGGGCATGACAGAGCAGAGGCTGACCCTGTGGTGGGAATCAGGAGCTGCCGGGGACCCCCAGCCCCAAAGACCGAGCTGCAGCCGCTGCCCCCAGGGAGGGCACCCCAGATGGTCGGTGCTAAAACCCTCCGGAAAGTCACTGGGACCCAGCCAGGCACCTGTGGGGGTCCCACACAAGTGGGGGGAGAGGCGTGACTCACCAGGCCCCTTCTGCCACATCCCTCCCGCCCTTCCCCACAGCGCCGTTGCCCGCCCTGCCAGGCTACCTGCCCACGTGCCTGCCTATAAGGCGGCTCCAATCACCCCCAAAACCGCCCCACACCTTGTCTGTTGGCCCTTTAAACCTGCTTCCCACCCTCCATGCCACTTGGCCGAGCCGGCTTTGGTTAACCATTACCCCCCGTGGGGAGGGGCAGGAGGGCAGAGGTGCCAAAGCTCCCGGGGCCAGCAGCGCAGCCGACCAGTGCCCGCAGGACTCCGACAGGTATGGCTGGCAGTGGGGATGGGGGGGGCCCTGTGTGGCAGAGGTGTCCCCATGGCTCCGAACCCCCGTGGTACCCACGAAAGGGGTTGAAGTAGGGGGAGAAGTGTGGCCAGGTGGGAGGAGAGGTGATGCCGGGCTCCGTTCCCGGCCCCTCCTGGCTTGGGCTTAGCACACAGCCGGCACCCAATATCTCATGGTTGTGTTCTGCTGGGGAACGGGGCACCCCCCCCGCCGGCACCGGCAACACCTCCGCCACACATGATCCAGGGTGGGCTCCGCCTGACAGGGCGCTGCCCTGGGCACGGTTCTGCCGCAGGATCCAGCCGGTCCCGAATAGCAGCAGCTGCTGGCAGGGGGGACAGCCAGCACCCTCAGGACCCGCCGTCGGCCATGGGGAGGGACGACGTGGTCAGGGAGGATCTGGGCAGCCTCCACGGCATCCCCCTCTACAAGTCCTTCATCGAGGGCTGGCCACAGGTGGAGTCTTTCCAAGCCCGGGCAGATGACCTTCTCATCACCACCTACCCCAAGTCAGGTTAGTGGCCCTGGGGAAGGGTGCAGGGGGGACAGGGTGACGCCAGCCCTTGCAATGGTGTCCCTGTGCTGCAGGCACAACGTGGCTGAGCGAGATCCTGGACATGATCTACCACGATGGCGATGTGGAGAAGTGCCGACGGGATGCCATCTTCAACCGGGTGCCCTTCCTGGAAATGAAGGTCCCCAACATACCTAGTGGTGAGTCTCCCAACCCAGCTGCTCCCCTGGGTTGTGTGGGGAGGGAGATGAGCCAGGGTGGGGGTGGGAGTGCTGGGGCTCACACTGCTAAGCCTCCTGTCCCGCAGGCATCGAACAGCTGGAGAAAACCCCGTCCCCGAGGCTGGTGAAGACCCATCTCCCTGTCCAGCTCCTCCCGACCTCCTTCTGGGACAAGGACTGCAAGGTAACGCCACAGGTGCCCCATGCCTCTCTCCCCATCTGGGTGGCAGGGAGGGGGCACCACTCTGCACCCCCAACCACATGATGTCACCACTCTGCACTGACCCAACCACAGGTCATCTACGTGGCCCGCAACCCCAAGGATGTCGTCATCTCCTACTACTACTTCTACCAGATGGCCAAGATACACCCCGACCCTGGCACGCTGGATGAATTCCTGGAGACCTTCATGGCTGGCAAAGGTGGGGGCTGAGCCCCAGGGTGCCCATCCTGAAATGCCCGTGGGAAAGCTGTCTCCTGCCTCCCCATTTTTTGTCTAAACCCTTGACTGCATCCCGCAGTGGCTTACGGGTCCTGGTATGAACACGTGCGGGGCTGGTGGGAGAAGAAGAAGGAGAAGCAGCTCCTCTACCTCTTCTATGAGGACATGAAGAAGGTGAGGGTGGAATGGAGGGGAAGGTGCCTCAGTTTCCCCCCCATCCAGTGTTTTTGACAACCACCTCATGTCAGCTGCCCTGCAGGACCCGCAGCGGGAGGTGCAGAAGATCCTGCAATTCCTGGGCAAGGAGATGGAAGAGGGGACGTTGGCGAGGATCCTCCACCACACTTCATTCCAGGAAATGAAGAAGAACCCTGCAGCCAACTACGAGACCATGCCCACCACTCTGATGGACCACAGCCTCTCCCCCTTCCTCCGGAAAGGTGGGGTTTGGCCAGCAGTGGAGGGCTTGGGAGGGGTGTCCCCGGGCTGTATTGCAGCCCTCAGCTGTGGCTGCAAATATTTTGGGGGTGTCAGGATTTACCCCACGTGCTTTCTTGCCGCCAGGGATCTCTGGGGACTGGAAGAACCACTTCACCGTGGCCCAGAATGAGCGTTTTGACCAGCACTACCGAGAGCACATGGAGGGCTCTGACCTCTGTTTCCAGATGGAGGTGTGAGGGGCTCATCCCCCTTCCTGGGGGGCTCTCTGCATCTCCCTGCTCCCCCCGCAGGGAGGGTGGGTCTGGACGAAGCATCCTCGTGCCGATTCACTTTTTCCTCTGTAATAAATTGGGATAACTGGAAGGTGAGCCGTTGCCTGCAAGGAAAGCTCGGGGGGGATGAACCCCCCAGATCCCGGGAAGCAGCCGGGGCACCTCCATGCTCAGTGGGCGAGAGGGTGGGCACACATGGTGGATTTTTAGCCAATGCTTGTCAGGCATCAACTGGGGGGCGGACATCCTCCCAAAAACCACTGCTGACTCCAACACCGTGGGCTACCCCAGCCCCATCCTACCAAGGTGTTTGGAGGGAGCAAAGATCGGTGAAGAGTGGAAAAGCCTCAAAGTGCTGGTGAACCTGCTGCCCCCGCCGCTCTTGTGTGCGCAGCAGCTTTCTGGCCTCTGGGTTGTGGCAAGTCTCTTGACAGAGGGGGCGGTGGCGGGGCTCGCCCCGGGCTCCCTGGCCCAGCCGGAGCTCGCCAGCCCAAGGTTTGTGGAGCAAAGGCGAAGGGAAACACCTCCCTGCCAGCGTACTGCTGCGCTCAGCAACATCGCTGTCCTTGCGGGGTGGGGAACCCACCCTGCAACTTCTGACCTGCCTGCACCGAGCCCTTGCTTGGGGATGGCTGGAGGAAACCAGTCTCTGTCCCACTGGGGGCAAAGGTTTGCTCTGGAGCCCCACATTCCCCAGTTACGCCCCGTTTCCAGCCTGTTCTTGAGTTTCCAAGATTGCAGCTTTTTGGCAAGGCAGTCTCACGGGGTTGTTTCATTCCCAAATTGATGCAGCCCACATCTGACTCCTAAAGAGCAGCGGCGCTATGAGGGCGCTATGAGGGGTGCTCTCCAGCAGGAATAAACCCTTTCCACACATTTATTTAAATGCCAGTGGAGATCTCTGCACTTCCCCAGCTCCTGGCTTTGCCTGCAGGCTTTGCCTGCACACACAGCCCATTTTGCTGGTGTATGGACACAGGGGGGCAGGGAGGTCATATTCCTTCCTGCAAAACACCCAAACAGCTGACATACCTCACAGGGAACTTGGCCCCGGGGACAAATCAACGCTGTTTTCCTCAAGTTTGCAAACTGGAGAGCTGCTCCCCCTGCCTGGCTGCCACCTCTTCAGCCCTCCCTGCTCCCTCCCAGCTTGCGTTTGCCCGTGGGAAGCAGATAAGCAGGAGCATTTCAACACCACTGGCACCCTTAAATCCTTTTCTCAGAAGCACGATAGCAGCTGCACTCGTGCTTTGCAACCCTGCAAATTTTAGATCCGTATTTGAGTGCCTTCTGGGGGGAGAGGAGTGACTACAGCCTGACCCCCACATCCCACTAGTGAGCCCCCGTGCCAGTGCGAGCAACTGGGGACGTCGACAGGGGTGACCCCTGGATCAGCCCAGGGTGATGTTCAAACCCCATGGGATGTGGGCTGGGATTTCCTCCCTGCCTTTTCCGCTGCAGGCGGAGGGGGGAGCTGTGATTTCCATACACACCCCCTCACAACATCTGTGTGTTTACTGGGTGGATGCTGAGCACAGCACAGTCCATCACAGGCATCTGGGGACCATCCCCAGGGGGGCTGCATCCCCTTTCCTGCACTCCTCCCTCCACAGCACCGGGACCAGGTTGGTCTGGGTCCCTTCCCTGATGATGTTTCCCCCACCTGCAGCCCCAGGAGCCTCTGCGTGCCTCTATATTCCATGTGGGGAAGAAAAAATAGCAACCTCCCCTCTCTCCCTGACCAAGCTGCAGGCAAAGCTTTGCTTCCTCCCTTACAGAGAGCCTGATTAAGAGGCAGATAACAGGGAGACACTGCCAAGGTCAGGGGGCTTGGCCCATTTTGGGATGCCTCAGCCTCACAAGTGGAGGGCCTGCGCTGGGGGGTGTGGGGGGCTTAGAGGGGCTCGATGTCTGCGCAAACCCCTGGGAGATGGAGGTGAGCCACAAAGCTGCACTCCAAGAATAGCAGCATGGAGGTTTCACAGCCGGCATCTCCAGTGTTCCCGTCCAGGCAAAGAGGGTGGAAAGGTTTTCAGGGGAGAGTCCTGCGAGCCCCGCTCCCCATTCCTGGCTCCTTCAAACTCTCAGGTAGCCCCCGCAAGCAGGGCTTCCCCGTGCTGCCGTGCAACAGAGAGCCGTGGAAAAAAAAGCTGGGGCAGGGCTCGGGAGGGGGATGAAGAAAAGAGCCTGAAAGCCCAGCCAGCAAAGCCCCTGTGAGTTTTACGCTCCAGGAGCAGCTCTGCCTGCTTAGTAGGGGCAGCTGCACACTGCCTGTGATCCCTGAGCACCCCCCAGGGCTTGTTGTGTCCCCCCGCACTCCCTGCACTGCTGCTGGCCCCCAAAATCCACGTGGGAGGCAGGTGCCACCTCCTGGCATGCCAGCAAGAAGGGTTTTCTTCCCGTGGCTGGCATGGCTAGGCTCAGCAGGGATTTTGAGCCCCCCCCAGGGGATGAGGTGGCCCCGTAATGCTCCCCGCTACCAGACAAGTGTGTCCCCCCACCCCGAGCATCCCCCATCCCCAGCAGGATGGCCGGTCCCGACACCCACCTGCAGCAGCCCTGGGGCACGGCACACGGCATCCCCATGGTGAACGCCTTCGCCCACGACTGGGTGCGAATCGACACCTTCCAGAGCCGCCCCGAAGACATCGCAGTGGTCACCTTCCCCAACTCTGGTGAGCGTCCCCGGGCACCAGAGAGGGGCCGTGCTTCGGAAGGGAGGCACCAGCTTGCAGCCCCCCCTGGGACTTAGGGGGGATGAGGAGGAGGAAAGGCAACGCCAGCGGACGGTGCCCCTCGGCTGCCTGAGCTGGGGCTGCGGTGGGAATGGCGCTGGCCAGACGCCTGACCTCCCCTCACCAGGCACCACCTGGGTCAGCGAGATTGTGGACGTGATCCTGAAAGGCGGCGATCCCAAAAAATGCAAGCGGGATGCCATCATCAACCGGGTACCCATGCTGGAGTTCGCTGCCCCCAGGGAAGATGCCGGCAGGTAGTGGGGCAGCGGGGGTGGGGGGTGGGGGGGAAGCAGGGGGCAGCAGGTGCTGGCTGGGGGGCAGGCTTGGTTTTGGGGTGATGGACAGTGAGAGAGCTCCTGGAGGAAATCTCCTTTGCAGAAACGGAGCAGCTGGAGGCCATGGTGTCCCCTCGCATCATCAAAACCCACATCCCAGCTCACATCCTGCCCAAATCCTTCTGGGAAAACACTTGCAAGGTAACAGGCTGGAAGGAACAGACCTGGAGGAAGCTAGCAGAGATAAGGGGGGGACCTGCCCTGCCAGGACCTTACAAGTCCCCACATGTCACCAAGCTCTCTGCAGATGATTTACATGGGGTGCAACGCCAAGGACATGGCCATCTCTTTCTACCACTTTGACCTGATGAACAAGCTGCACCCGCACCCTGGGACGTGGGCACAGTATCTGGAGGAGTTCATGTCTGGCAGAGGTGGGTCAGGACAACCATGGGTGCATGTGGGTGACCCTGAAGGGTGCTGTCACCCACTGACACGCCCTGGCTGCTTTCTCCACACAGTGGCATATGGCTCCTGGTACAACCACGTCAAGGACTACTGGGAGAGGAGGAAGGATCACCCCATCCTCTACCTCTTCTACGAAGACTTGAAGGAGGTGAGGGACCAGGGTGGGTGGTGGTGTGGGGTCTGAGGGGGGTGGCAGGAGGGGCGAGCATTGGCCTGCATCCCGCAGGACCTCCGCCGGGAGATTGTCAAGGTGGCCCAGTTCCTGGGGCGGGAGCTGCCGGAGGCGGCGCTGGACGCCATCACCCGGCACACCTCCTTCGAGGCCATGCGGGACAACCCCACCACCAACTACAGCATGGTGCCCCCCCAGTTCATGGACCACAGCATCTCCCCCTTCATGCGCAAAGGTGAGTGGTCCCCGGGGGGCTCCCGGCGCGTCATGCCCCCCCGGTTGCCACTGAGCCCCATCTCGCCCGGCCCCAGGCACTGCTGGAGACTGGAAGAACCACTTCACCGTGGCCCAGAACGAGCGCTTTGACCAGGACTACACGCAGAAGATGTCAGGCACCGACCTGCGCTTCCGCACCCAGATCTGAGGAGGCACCGCCCGATGCCCCCAAATCCAACCTTTGCTGATGGCACTGCTGCTGTGCCAGGACTCCTTCCCCTCTCCTAGGATCACTGGAGAGAAATAAATTGTCCTCCCTGACCCCCTCCCATGGGATGCTCACTACCCTGTGCCTCTGCTAACCCCAACCCAGCCATCCCGCCGGGGCCGCTGGTCTCTCCGTGGGTTGGTGACAAGCTGGTGCCGCCCCACAGCCCTTTGATCACTGTGGTGGGGGGATTGCTGCTGGCAGCTCGGGGGAATCACAGAGGATTTAGGCAAAAACGTGCGCGGGGAAGGTGCCAGCTGGGCGCAGGCAGCAAGAGGTGTTCTCCCTGTCCCCACGCGGAAGGACACGGGCTGAGATATGTGGGTGGGGAGTGGGACCCGTGGGGCTGGAGGTACCCGCTGCAGCCCTGCCAGGAGTCCATTGGCCTCTGGTTTCTCCCTGCGCTTGCTCCTCCCTCCTGGCAGTCCCAGCGCTGGCAAACATTACTGCTCTCGCTCGCCCTGCCTCTTCCCTTCTCTCTGTCAAACCACCGTGGGGCCCCGCGTCTCTCTGTCCTCTGCTGTCACTGGCCCGGTGTCACCCTCCCGGCATCAGCCTCCAGGCGTGGAGCGGCACAGCCTTAGGTGAGCTGGGTGCCCTGGGGTGCCCTGTGGGTGCCCTGCCATGCTCAGCCGCTCAGAGCTGCGTGCTGCAGAGTCCAGGGTGGTGGGTTTGGGGTACTTCGGGGTGCACACAGCACTCTTAAGCCTCACCCTGGGCTGGGGTCTGCTGCGGTAACCCCAAGGACCCGGTTCCCTGCTCCCCTGGGGTGCTGAGGCAGGGGGAGAGGTGCCTGGCCTGGGTGACGCCGGCACGCTGCGGGCACCCCCAACCCTCGCAGGGGCATGGGGTGGGCTCCCACCCCTGCAGACGGGACCCCCCTGTCCCCAATGGTGGGGCACAGCTGCAGCGCCGCGGTGACCTCCGGTCCCTGTGCTGGCGGCGTCGCTGCCGCTCCCTGCGCCGGCACAGCACCAGGTCCCTGCTCTGCCCTGGCTGGTGGCCATTCTGGGAGGGACAGGGGCTCCCCCACCCTGTCCATCCCCCCCTCCCCGAGCATCCCTGTCCCCAGCAGGATGGCCAGTCCCAACACTTACCTGCGGCAGCCCTGGCGCATGGTGCATGGCATCCCCATGGTGAACGCCTTCGCCCACGACTGGGGGAGGATCGACACCTTCCAGAGCCGCCCCGAAGACATTGTGGTGGTCACCTTCCCCAAATCTGGTGAGCGTCTCCGAGCCCACCAGATGTGGTGGTGCTGGGGAGAGCGAGTGTGTTGTATGGCTGGGACCCGCTGTCTGGGGGGAGGCAGCACCTTTGGGGCTGTTGGGGCAGAGATGTGTGGGTTTTCCCTTCACCCCCACATCCCTTGATTGAGATCTGGGGGGTTGTCAGTGATGAGCCCCCCCAGCACAGCCCTGGCCACCCCCCCGGGGGGTTGCTTTCCCCAGGCACCACCTGGGTCAGTGAGATCGTAGACATGATCCTGCAAGGCGGCGATCCAGAGAAGTGCAAGCGGGACATTATCAGCAAGAGGGTGCCCATGTTGGAGTTCTATGCCCATGGGGAGATACCATCAGGTAGCGGCGCTTAGGGGCTTGGCTGTGGGCACCCCACCGGGGGCTGAGCCTGGGGGAAATCTGCCAAGGGCTTGCTGGGGACATGCTTTGGGGTGCCCCAGGGACGGACCTGCTGGCCACCATGCCTTCGCCCCGCATAGTGAAGACTCACCTGCCTGCACAAATCTTGCCCAAATCCTTCTGGGAAAACCGCTGCAAGGTAACACCCCAACCCTGGTCTGTGCCCCAGGGGGCATGGCAGCCCCCCTGTTCTCCTGGGGCAGGAACTCCTGATGCTCCCTCCAGCATCCTAAGTGGTGTCAGGAGCTCTAGGGGCTGGAGCAACCCTGCTGTTGGTGGTCCTGGGGCTGCCCCTCGCACCCCACGGCCCCTCTGCAGATGATCTACGTGGGCCGCAACGCCAAGGACGTGGCTGTCTCCTTCTACTATTTTGACCTGATGAACAAGTTCCAGCAGGACCCTGGGACATGGCCCCAGTACCTGGAGGAGTTCATGGCCGGCCGAGGTGGGTCAGGACAACCATGGGTGCATGTGGGTGACCCTGAAGGGTGCTGTCACCCACTGACACGCCCTGGCTGCTTTCTCCACACAGTGGCATATGGCTCCTGGTACAACCACGTCAAGGACTACTGGGAGAGGAGGAAGGATCACCCCATCCTCTACCTCTTCTACGAAGACTTGAAGGAGGTGAGGGACCAGGGTGGGTGGTGGTGTGGGGTCTGAGGGGGGTGGCAGGAGGGGCGAGCATTGGCCTGCATCCCGCAGGACCTCCGCCGGGAGATTGTCAAGGTGGCCCAGTTCCTGGGGCGGGAGCTGCCGGAGGCGGCGCTGGACGCCATCACCCGACACACCTCCTTCGAGGCCATGCGGGACAACCCCACCACCAACTACAGCATGGTGCCCCCCCAGTTCATGGACCACAGCGTCTCCCCCTTCATGCGCAAAGGTGAGTGGTCCCCGGGGGGCTCCCGGCGCATCGTGCCCCCCCGGTCGCCACTGAGCCCCATCTCGGCCGGCCCCAGGCACTGCTGGAGACTGGAAGAACCACTTCACCGTGGCCCAGAACGAGCGCTTTGACCAGGACTACACGCAGAAGATGTCAGGCACCGACCTGCGCTTCCGCACCCAGATCTGAGACAGTGCTGTCATGTGCCCCCCCACACACCCAGCATCACCAATCCCACTCCCCGACAGCAGCTCCAGCACAGCCTCAGCCTGCCTGTGTCTCACTGGCCTCTGCATGCCAGAAGGACTTTTACAAAAATAAAAGGTTTTATTTCTATGTATTCCTCCCAAATCTGCAACCATGTGAAAGCTGCTGCATTGCTACAAAGCGCTGTGGAGCCTCATCCCACTTGGCATCGCCCCAGCCCCACGTTGCCTGCCCAGGCCATGTGTAGGATACTCCTGTGTGGCTTCATTTGGAGGAATAAAAAAAGTCAGGATGTGGCATAGAGGCGTTTCCAGCATGTGGTGAATAAAAGTTGCCAGCAGCTTCCACATGCACATCTCTACCACGGCAAGGGCTCACACAGGGTCCCACAGCCACCGCCTCCTGCCTCAGAACCCCCTGCTGATGTCACACTTTGGGTGGGGACAGGACAGGACAGGGCACGGTGATGGCCATGCCCCCCCCACTGCTGGGCCCATGTGGAAGAGACGAGGTGAGCGGGATGGGAACGAAACCTGTCCCAGGGTGGCCAGGAGATGGACGCAGCCTGGGGAGCGTGGGATCAGTCCTTCTGCTCAGGAGCAACGAGAGACGATTTTGCTGCTCGCTTTTGTGCTGTTCCAGGGACCTGAAAGCAGTTATGCTGGGCCAGTCTCCCCGCAACCACATCATTCATCAGGTATGGCAGGTCCCGGGGGTCGGAGGAAAGGGTCCCCTCGGCCATTCCCCCTCCCACCATAGCCAGGAAAACCACAGCTAAAGGAACGGCACTGCGGAAAGCTGGTGCTTTAAAAATAGCTGGTTTTCTGTTGCAATCATTTAAGAAAACGAAGCTGCGAGTTGGACGGTCATTGGGTCCCAGTTCCTCAGATGCTGTCCGCTCCTGCCAGTGTTCATCAACCTCTCTTCTCTTTGGTACATGTGCAAAACAAACTTGCCTGCAACCTGGAGGAAATAGTCATTGTAGGCATGGAGCATCTCTGAAGATGTGATTTCTTTCTCAGGAGTGGGTGAAATAGGCAAAGAGGTTAAAAAAAATGACCAGGGATCTGGGGCACAGGCCAGGTGACAGGGATGCAGTCAGGCACAACCCAGCACGGAAACAGGGGCTACTGGATGTGAAACGGTTCTGCTGTGCTCCAGGGATGAGACCGACAGTCAGGTGGGACCTGTCAGGAAATACAGGCAACAAAACCGAGTTAAATGCCATCATTCAGCAAAATCCCTGGAATGTGGCCATTAGGTACCACAAACCCAACAAAAGTGGGGGTGGTGGGCATAGCTCTTACCTACTTGGATGTGTGGGAAGAAAGTAAGGAGAAAAAGAGAAGATACAGAACTGTGATCCCCCCTTGGAAGAAATGTTATTTTAAGTCATAATAAAATAATTGCAAATGATTTCTGGTTCTCTCTCAGATGCTAGGAACTTTTCAGTGTTGCATGATACAGTTGTGTATTGCTTGGTTGTAGTGATTTGTTACAGAGGCAGCCGGCTCTGAATCTCTGTCGCATCTTATCTTGCAGTCTCAGTTCAAACAAAGCTGAGCCAGAGATGCCAGAAGAGGAGATGGTAAAAATAATCGAGGTAATTACAGACAGGAGCAGAGATACCTAAACTGGCAAGGGGTGGCCTTGGCCACTTGTGTGGTACGGAAGAGGTGCCATGTAGGAAAGCAGCTCCCAGGACAGATGTGGTTCCCTGTGTCTGGTCACTCTGTAGTTTTGTCTTCTACAAATCTGACTTTGAAACCCTGACTCGTGACATGCACCACATCCCACAGCATGTTGTACCTCCCCTGGGGATTCACTTTTCCCTCACAACTGGCTTTTTTGTTTGTTTAAGATCCCTTACGTCATGCACTGAGATACTACCAGCAATTCATCCATACTGATCTTCCCCATTCTTTAGGACTCCAGAGGCTTTCCTCATAATTCAGCCTCTGCCAGCTGTGTATTTTTGGGCTGAAGGCATCTTGGTCTATTCATGTGCTGGATTTCCTCTGCTGGTTTATCTCTCAGCCCCTTGACATTGTGACATCTTGCTACAGGAAACTTCTTTCATTCTTACTCTTGCTCTTGAGACTCAGGACGACCAGCATCTGTTTTGGCCCCACTGCTCTTGCCAAATACTGCTCCTCTGCTAATGTCAACTTGTTCCTCTGTAATTTGTTCCAGGCATTTTCTTCCCTCCCTAGATTTCTTGCATGCCTGTTTGCTGCTGCTTGGATATAAAGCCAGGCCTTTCAATTGCCCCTGCTTTGTGCCTTAGATGTTTCCATTTGCATGGAAGCACAGAGATTTGTTTTGTTTCCCCAAAGCATCTCTGGTCTGTTAGATGACTCTCTAATGACACCTCTTTCCTCTTCGTAATTCAGATAGCATAGGGACATCAAGCATACTTCAAGAAGTGTTTTCATTCACTACTCTCAATAAGAACCATTTTTTTTTTATTTCTATCTTTTGTCCCTGAGCTCAAAGTGCAATCCTAACAGCACATGCCCTTGCTGCTGTAGATATGGTGCTTGTTAGCAGCTGAAGAGATGCAACATAACCAGCTAGGGGAAGCTAAAATGCTGTGTCACAGAAGTTTTGTGTAGACCCAAACTCCTAAGGCCCTGAGAAAAAAAACAAGGATTTGGTTACGAGGCCAGAGGAGGGACTGCAGAGGTAACTTTGCCCTTAAAAGCACCATCTAGCAAACCAGGGCAGGATGAGTGCAAGCTCCCTCGTAAACACTCTTGTAAAACCAGGACTTTGAATCCCTCGATGTGAAGGCGGTGCCTCTCCTCCCACCGCTTGTGGGTGCGGAGCCACACAGGCGGCGGCTGGAAGGAGCCTTCGTCCTCGGGGCTGCACGCAGGCACCCGGGAGCGGGGCCGTGGGCTGCGGAGGGGCTGCCTGCTGCCTTAGAGGCAGGAGCTCGGTGCGGGGGGCAAGGTCCCACAGTAAGAGTTGCTAAGGGTGCTCCCACATCTCGTGCAGGGGTCCAGACATCTGAGCTGATGGCATCCAAAGCAGAGAATGTTCCTCCCTCTCACTCCTCCAGCCTCCAAACATCCCAGGTGCAGGATACAGCAGCCCCAGCCGAAATTCCACCCATGCCTCCAGTGCAAACAGTGGAGAAAACACAAACCTAACCTGGTGAAATACCCCCAAGGATGACGTGGCAGCCCTCACAGTTACGAGGTGAAGCCCAAGTCCAAACCTCCAGACCCGATTTCCTGAGAGCAGAGGCGGGGGGGGCTGCCTCTCTTCGCCTCCCAGACAGATGTGCAGAAACACTCCTCCACACTCCAACCAGCAGCAGATGTAGTGCTCCCCTCTGCGTCCCAAACCAAGCTGCGATGGATCCGCTCCAACCCTGCAATATCACGGGAAAAGCAGTCTCTGCCTTCCCCAGATGCTGAAACACAAGAGGAGTCATGCTGGCAGGGAGGCTGTCTGCGAGGACGCGTGCCGAGGCCGAGGTGCAGATTTCCCGCGTGGGTACGCCCCTGGGGAGTAGGTGGCAGGGGTACCACCCGTGTACGGAGGCCCAGGCACAAACCTCGTGCTAGCAGCTTCCAGAGTCAAACAGCACAGCCTCACTCCTGTGAGACACAGATGTGGCTTAGGACCTTGAGCAGGCTGAATCCAAGTAAGAAAAAGTAATTTCTGATAAATTTTCCCTGGCCATAGATGAGCTGTGCTCTGCTTCCAGATTTCTGGAAAGCCAGCGAGAAGCTACAGTACAGCAGCAGGGTTATGTACAACTGGTGGATTCAGTCAAAATTTAGCAGGGATTTCAATTTAGTTTTCATTCCCCTGCAGAGCTATGAACATGCAAAGGTATTACAGCGTGTGAATACATTACTAGGTTGCTCAATGCAATGGCTGCTGGCCAGCCATTCAGGGGGACCCCTGCTCAGTGACAGCCTGGTCTTTGCCCAACTCCTTCCTGGCCGAGTGGCAAACACATCCATAAAAATAAATCATTGGCAAGCTGGCCTGGCACAGGGAAAGGCTTGGCATAGGAGCATGAGCAGCAAACATGCATGAGAAGGTGGGAGGGAGCGATCAAATGTCCCCTTCTGGGCTCGTGAGCCATTAGATGAGTCCCATCCTGTCTATACCCTCAGTATTTGCAGATTTGCCCATCTCTGTAGCACTCAGCTTTCCCCTGGGGGTCGGACAGATGCTGGACAGACAGGGGGTATGCTGTACCTGCAGGCAGCTTCGGCAAGTCTCCGCTGCTGCACGTCACTGTAGAGCTGGCGAGGATAGGGTGCAGCACCTCTTCTCCCTCCATAAATGCACAATTCCTAGCAGGGACACAAAGCTTGGCCTGGACCTTCTCTCATTTCTTTCTTTTTTGGGGCTTTACACAGTGGAATGGCTCCAGTGCGAGCCACTCCGGTGTCTGCATGTTTACATGACAAGGTGCCCCTGCAGCAGTGCAACAGCAGTGAAGAGAGTTCATAAAATCTTAAACTGAATCAGTAAAAAGAAGTGAAATGCTACAAACCTAGCCCATGGTATTTTTGTCCTACAGCTGCAAGGTAGAGGCATAAAGATACAATTTAGTTGAGCAAGGTGGTTATGGTAAGGCTACTTCAGCTCATTAACTTTTGCTGGAGTTTTCCTATTACCCGTGGGGATTGCATGGGAGTAGACATTTTACTGAGCACTTGCACATGTCCCTCTGCAAAATTGCTCAATCCACTCACTTCTGTCTGTACCCGGGGTGAGCCAACCTTGATATTTCCCCCATCCAGCCTTCCTCCTCCCTAAAGAAAAACAATAGTCAAGACTTTCAAGTCTGCTTTCAGTCCAGAAACCACTTTACTGCAATAAGTGAAAGGTAAACAGGGAGTCATTTGGGGCTCCTCAGGGCAAAAGCTTCCCTTACTACCCAGGCACTGAATTTCTGAGGTGCTGGTTGGCATCAAGGTTTTCTAGAAATCAAGGTGCCACGTATACTGTAACCCCCATTCAGCAAAATGGTGGAGAGACCCATATGTGGAAAACACTAGCTTGTATTGCCTAACTTTTGCGTAACTCACCTTTGCCTCAATGAGCCTGTCATGTTTTCACAAGGCCAGAGGGTTGCATCAGTGTCTACAGCACTTCTACTTGGTAATGCTAGATGTGTGAAATACAGACACTTAACACCATTTACTTTCTTCAGCCCCATTTTCCTCTCATTTGCTGGATTTCGTCCTTTAATCCCCTCAAAATGATTATCTTCTCTGTATTAAGAGTAATCTGAGTATCATTTTTAAAAGCCGGCCATGGAAACCAGACAAATTTAACCATCTCGTCCCCCTAGTAATAGCTCTCATTTGCTACAGAGGAATTAGTTACTGAGGGGTTAGAAATGAAACCCAAGTTCCCATCTGCCCTAGCCCACATGAACATGGCCTTTCAATATTTGCTGAAAAAGCTTTAAGTGTCTTGTAGGACTTTCCCAAATAAGCTAAATTACCCTGAAAACAGACACTATCCTGAATACAAAGGTCTATGTAGATCATAGTGAAATTCCTGGCTGTAAGGTCAAATTAATGTTGAACCATGCTGGGCTAATTGCCCTGAATTCAAAGGGTTTAGAAAAAGTCAGGCTGAATATTATGGACAATATTTAAAAACCATGAAGGTGCATCTTCATATTCCTACATTTTCAAGTCATTAAAAACTTGCCTAGCTCTCCAGAATGAAGGGCCACACACCCAGCACATAGCAACTTCTGGAAAACTCTGTGAACAAACCACAAGATTTTCTCTTTGTTCCTGTAGACAGTTTATAAACAAGACTATTACCTAACAAACAATTTTTTTTTTTGCCAGTTGGGACCCATAAAGCTAGTGAAAAATCTTTTTAGCAGTCAGACACCATACTTCTGAGCTATAAGATGCAAAGTCCTCCTGAGAATTGGGCTCTGTAATAACATTATAATATAATTTAGCATGGGGAAGGCCATCTCAACTATTAAATTACTGGGGCATAACAAAGCAATGTATAATCCCAGAATACATGCCTTGTTGTGATCAACCCATATCGTATTACTTCCTCCTCTTGAAAAGCCCAGTTTGGAGGGTAACTTATTTAAACTCCTTCTGCCCAATACCCAACCTCGCCAGGGCAGCCCAGGCGCAGAGGAGGTGAGCGGCACGAAACAGAAGCAAATCGCTGTAGCAAACTGTGCCTTGCAGCTCAGAGCACAATGCGTACCTACCTTGGAAGACTGCACCAGGTAAGGGGTTTTGTTTTGCTGCCTGGCATTTGTTCCCCAGATTGTGTTGGGTTAAGCATATCTTTATATGCACGGGTTTTCGTTGTCATTTTGGCTCCTGGTGGTTAAGAGCTCCTTCCAGGACACAGTGCCTTCACCGACTTTCAAATGCTGACTCTCCATGTGAGAGCCACCCCAGATGACGTGGGGTTTGCTCTGAGAAGCACCTTTAGGGGCCAGGAGGGTCCCAGACCTGTTTAGAAACCTGACCTGAGCCCACAACACGACCAGGTTTACAGTGACGCGCTCCAGACAGTAGCAATGAGCTCCCTGTGTTAAAAGTTGGGAGGAGTCAGAAACCAGCCATCACGTATCAGAACAAACTACATGTTATCATTGGCATTATCATCACCCAAATGAAAGATTTGCTGCCTTCTCTCAGCATGGGAAATGTCTGCACTTCTCACATCTCACTCTGAAAAAAGATGCTGCTGCCAAGTCAGCCATGACCTGGCTTAAATGTACCCTGTGGTCTCTCCTTTCTCGGCCTGCCTCCGGCATCGCCACTTCACGTGAGCACCGCGAGTGATTTGTTTGAGTATCAGAGCTGGCATCCAGGGGCTGGCTCACTTGCAGTTTCTTCCTCTGTCAAGGTGCACCAACTTGAATTAATAGTGAAGCCTGGAGAGGGAGCAGCAATCTGCAGGGGCTGGGGCATGACTGCCAGTAATTCATATTATTTACCAGCAGGGATATGGCTGTAGAAGTGTTGAGGAGGCCTAAGGATGCCTATGGTATAATGGGCCACTGCTAGTTCCATCGTAGCTGTCTTGCCCCAAGTCTAGACATATATTCAAGCAAGCAATCGCTGTGACACTGCTGCCTGTCAGCTCAGTAAAGTCCCTGCGCTGCTTCTGGAAAGAAAGGTGGAGAAATCAGGGAAAGTCTCAGAATGAGAGAAATACATCTTTAAGTACAGGGAGGTTTGCTGCCTTAAGTAATAGAAATATTACAGTACACAGATACCATGGCTGTTACAACTGAAAACGGGCATTTTAAAATCAGATGTGGACATACATTCTCCAGAAAATCTTAGTATTTTTCCAGTGTTGGCAGCAGTGCCACTTATTTGCTAATACTTATAGTAAATCTGCCAACATTCACTGATACAGTAATTACATAGCTAAAAGACATCCCGTTATTTGGTTTTAGTTCATGGTAAGGATTCCTCAGAAAAACTACAAAAATTATAAAGAAACAAAGGATGAAATTCTTCTTGTGCAAAGGGAGTGGTTTGAAGGCGGACATTTGACAGCAGTGAGGATTGCTGCCACCTTGCTAGCCAGGGACAGGAGTTCCCTCAGGAAGAATCTAAGATGGGAGAAGGCAGAAAGGGAAAAGTAAATCACCAAACACCCTTTTCTGTCTTTTCAGACCTGAGACCAGCGCAGGTTTTAAAGGCCCCCGCCCATGCAACAGCAAACTTGCTTTTGCTGAGAGTGCTAGTCAAGAGCCATCAAACCCATCACAGAGCTGCAGCACTCCCAGCTGGGAGGGAGAACTCCCAGGCTACCTAGCCCTTAACCCTGCCATGGCCACAAAAGCCACCAGCTCTAAGAAATACCTCCAGCTGCTCCTTTTTCAGTTGGCTCTTCTAGGGCCTGTCTTCTGCGGGAACGTGTTGGTCTGGCCAACAGAAGGCAGCCACTGGCTGAATGTGAAGATAGTCATAGAGGAGCTCACCCGCCGCGGGCACAGTGTTACCATCCTGGTATCCAACGCCTCCCTCTTCATTAAACCCAGGGCTGAAGCCACAGAGAAGTTTGAGGTCTATAACGTGCCCTTCAAGAAAGACACTGTTGAGAACCTGATTGAGGAGGTAGTGGCACTGTGGCTGAATAACAGGCCAACCACCTTGACCTTCTGGCAGTTTTACAAGGAGCTGGGAAAACTCTCCAAAAACTGGCACCGGATGAACAGGCTCATGTGCGACGCGGTGCTAAGCAACCGAGAGCTGTTGGCCCACCTGCAGGGGTCTAGCTATGACCTGCTGCTGTCAGACCCGGTGACCCTCTGCGGGGACCTCCTGGCTCTCAAGCTGGCTGTCCCCTTCATCTACTCGCTGCGCTTCTCCCCGGCCTCCACCGTGGAGAGGCACTGCGGCAAGATCCCAGCCCCACCGTCCTACACGCCTGCAGCCCTGTCTGAGCTCACCGACCGCATGTCCTTCAGTGAGAGAATAAAAAACATCGTGTCTTACCACCTGCAAGACTACGTTTTCCAGAGCTACTGGGGAGAATGGGATATCTACTACAGCAAGGTCTTAGGTAAGCCTTTCTCATTACACAGCCTCCCGCCTTACGACCTGCAGAGCCTGGGACTTGGCAGGGTCCCAAAGTCAAGGTCTGCAGGAGGTCAGCAAGAAGTTCTTGTCATTATGTTCCTATGGGGAAAAGGGAATGAGCCACCAGGGTCCACCAGCTGCACCCAGTCCCTGTCAGGGGGCTGTGCCACTATGCCATTGCATTCAGACAGGGATCAGTGCTCATCCCAATTGATGGATCTGAGTTTTGGCACAATTATTTGTAAGGTGGAGGTTGAAACAACGTCCGTGCCAAATAGGGCCCTCTCAGCAAGGAGCTCAGCTTACACATTTCCCCCTCCAATCACTTCCTGCACAGAAAGCAGCCAGGAACAGAGCTGTTTTCCTAATTCAGAGTGTCATAACAAGGAGGGGGGAGCTGGTGAATCATGAGCCAACCCTGCTACCCTCAGCAGCAACACTGAAATGCATTGTGGCTTTGTAACAGAGACTTCACTTACATCACTGGTCATATAAAACCAATCCTCTCTGCACAAAGTAAGTTTTATTAAAACATACCTTCCACCCACAAAGGGTGAAAGCAACGAGTCTTCCTCTGCAGGCTTTTCTTCTGGAGTGTTTTGAGTGAATATATAGGAAAATATGTTTATTTAAGCATTAACAACATGTGACCTACATGCCATTTTTACTAATCTCACACTGAGCGCATGAAAAAGAGCACTTGTGAATCTCTCAGGGTTCAATTGACTGCAAGTACCTGCATGCTGCAGGACTTCACAAGTACACCAAACTGTTGCCATGTGCACAGCAGAAAAGGTACTTCAGCTTGGCTTCTCACAGCCCAGCTGCTTCCATCCCCCTTGTCTTCATCCTGGAAAGGATGCTCCAGGCAGCACGGAAGCTGTAGCAAAAGCCTTGCACAACATTAGGAAAACATTGTGTAACAGAGCTGGGCAAAAGCCCAGTAATGACGATATTTAGCACAGTGAAGAGGACTCACATGATTTCTCAGTCGCACATCAGAAGGGTGACCATAAATAAAACTGTTTAACAGATTTTCTAGTTCAAGCTATTGTGCATAATCGGCACCTAGTGGCAGGCAGGACAGCCCACACCACCACCTACCAGTGCTGGCCTCCTGCGATGCATGCTCTGGAAGAGGCAGGTTCACATGAGGACAGTCTGATACCAGAGTCACTTGCTGTATAGTTTCATCCACTTCAAGATGTAACTTTTTAGCTGCAGCCCTGGATCACCACCTTAAGTGCACTGCACACGGATGCTCAGCGTCTTTATAAAGCAAAAGGGTGACCACACAGTGGGTAAACATCTTTGCTGTGTACCCAGCTGTGCTTCCAAGAGCCTGAAGAATGAAAAAGTTACCTCTTCTACCAAACAAGTAACAAAGAAACTGTAGTTAGACAGGCAGGAGGGCCTGGATGACCAACAGGACACCACCCTTGCTGGACCGAGCCCCCCAGGGCTGACCACTCTCCCCGCTGCTCCAGAGGAAGCACATCTTCCAGCTTCAGCAAGCTATTTACCACCAGATGGTGCCAGCTGGTCCCAGTCACCCTTTTCCCCAGGAAAACACGTCATTAACCAGGACAGGATTTCAGGCCAGCTACCGTGGCTCCCTGCCGCACAGAGCACTGCCGTGTCACGCACGCCCAGCCCAGCCTGGGACTGCTGCTGCTGCTGCGGGGGGAGGAAGGCCACGGGGCATTGCCACGCAGGGCAGGCTATGGCTGGGAAGGAGGTGGCGGTGCTGTGGCTGCTGGCTGTGTTGGGCTGGGGGTCTGGGGGGAAAGTGTTGGTCTGGCCGGCTGACAACAGCCACTGGCTGAACATGGAGTACATACTCCAGGAGCTTGTGGTCCGGGGCCATGAGGTGACTGTGCTGCTGCCTTCGTGCTTCCTCATCCTCAACCCCGCAGAGCCCTCACCCTTCCGGTTCGAGGTGGTTGAGGTGCCAATCACCAAAAAGGAGATGGCTACCTTACTGGAAGAGGCTTTATATTTCTGGTTTTACCAGGAGAGCACGCTACCTGTCTGGGTAAGTCTTTACAAGATAGCTCAGCTGGTGTACAAGCTGGAGAACGTAACCAAAATCATTTGTGATGAAGTCCTGAAGAACGAGGCGCTGCTGGAGAGACTGAGAGCATCCACCTTTGATGTCCTCTTGGCAGACCCACTGGCACCCAGCGGGGAGCTGTTTGCTGAGAAGCTGGGTATACCCTTCGTGTACACCATCCGGTTCTCCATAGGCAACACGGTGGAGCGGCTCTGTGGGACACTCCCGGCACCTCCTTCCTACGTACCAGCCACCCTAAGTCGCCTAACAGATAGGATGTCCTTCCTGGAAAGACTAAAAAACATCTTTACCTTCATTGTGCAGGATATCATGTATCATTACCTTCTCTGGGGAAGCTGGGATCAGTACTACAGTGATGTTTTAGGTAAGGCCGCTCTCGCTTCCAGAAATTACATCTGCTGTACACAAAAGAGTAAAAACCCAGAGCGTAGAGGTTAGGGCACAAATTAGGAGCAAGACAGCCCTGAACTCGCTCGCCTTCCTCCAAAATTCTTGTGTCAAGTCAAACAATCCAGGTAAGTGCAAATGTTACCTGTTAATCCTCACCTGCTACACTAGTACAGGTAAGTCTGTACAGGCACTTCTAGGATAGGTAAACCAGTGCTAAAGCCACTTGAAACAGAGCTCATCAGTCATATTCATAGATGAATTATGACAAACATTAATAACAGCAAAATACTACTACATACCCATCAAACACTAGTACTGAATTAGAGCTTTTGAAGTAGAAATTAAAAAATAGGTTTAGAAAGCTACAGAGCAATACTACCTTTATTCCCCTAGCACCTTTCCTGCTTGCTAGCTTATCTCAAAATGAGACATAATGGCTTCCTCTGGTCTTTTAAAGACTTGGGAGAGCAGCTGAGCCCCTGTTTGCAGTGACAAAAGGCCCTCAGCAGAGACAGGGTTCTTTGATTTTCTGAAATAAAAGAAATATTAGAAAATAGCTGTATTTATAAACTTCTTTTTAAAATAATAGTTGCAGAATTATTTTCACATTTTTGCTCTAAGTCATTATTGTAATAGTTAAAATGAAACAGGGCAAACATACATGCATTGTCGGTGGGCAGATAAAATGGGTATTATTTTAATATGAGACTCCAAGTGTTTATATTTCACAAGTAGGGTAAAATTCTGCTAAGAGAACTAAATTGTTAAGATATCCTACTATTAGAATACCTAGCTCTCTGTTTACTTGTGTTACTTATCACGTTTGACACTGACTAGAAAATCTTGTGTTGGCACAAGTATGGTTTGCTGATTTCCTGTTGTGTAATCCCCAGAGCTGCTTGCATCTTGTGTTGTTTTTTTTTTTTTTTTATTGTGAAATGTGGGGTTGAGCATTTAAAGCTCCATGTGCAATACCTGTTTTGTTAGCTGTGTTAGTTTAGCTGTTTCCTACCCTAACTGTGATACGCTTTGATCTGGAGAGTATCCAGTCCTGAAGGAGTGTGAAAGGAAGGGGCGAACATCTCACAGAAATGGGGCGATGTCTCAGCTCCTGCAGTGTATGCACACACCTTCTCTTTCTCCTTGTAAAATCTTCTTCAGGGTTCTTACTATTCTAGCTGCTTTCTTAGAGCTACTTAAAGGCTTTTTTGAGTGCTGAGGTTGAAGCATAATGAAAGACTGCTTGCTCCACTGTCAGTCCAGTGAGGGGAGCTCATGTGGTGGTGCTGAGCTCCGGAGGAGTCCTCAGGACCTGTTTAGACTGAGCCTCATTTGCCCCCTGCTCAGCAGAGAGCAGCTTCATGTTCTTTTCCCTGAACACATCAGTAGCACCAAGCATCTCCACCACCTCTGCAAGACAAAGTCAAAGGCAGGTCTCTTGGCAGTATCTGTCCTGGACTGCATGATATAGATACATCGATGCCAGTTTGCAGCGTCTTCCCAGGAGAAGGCACAGAAGCAGCAAGGTGAGCAAAACCTGTGCTCCCCACCTCCTCCTGTTTCTCTCCTGCGGTGGCCTGATGCTGGAGTCATCTGTGCCAGGACTGTGCCCTGCCAGCAGCAGTGCTGTGTGCCCACAGCATCTGCTTATAGACAGGACAGAATTAGAGCACCCTGTGGGTGACTTGTGTATCACTGCAGGACATTCTGCACCTAGCAGTTGAGGAGATAAGAACTGTAACCAGCTTTATGAGGAGGTTGGCTCTTACAGGGCAAAGAAGCAAATCTAGGCTGTAGTCAAGTGATAAGATGGGATTCATCCTGCAGCTGTCAAAAAAGTCTCATGGGCTGCTCATGTGCTTTCCTTAGCCTGAGCTCCTGCTTGGCACAGAAACGTGTATCTTCACCTCAAAGATCTGGTATGAAGGCATACTGATTTTGGCTGGAATAGAATTAATTTTCTTCATAGTAGCTTGCATGGGGCTACATTTTGTATTTTTGATGAAAACAGCATTGATAATAGAGGGATGCTTTAGTTATTGCTGATCAGTGCTTACACAGCATCAAGGGTTCTTCTGCTTTTCACACTGCTCCTCCCAGCAAGCAGGCTGGGGGTGCACAACTTGGGAGAGGACACAGCCGGGACAGCTGACCCCAACTGACCAAAGGGATATCTCATGTCATGTGATGTTGTGCACAGCAAAAAAAGCTGGGGGGGAAAGTTTTCCAGGGTTGCTGTTGCTCAGGGACTGGCTGGGCACTGGTTGGACGGTGGTGAGCAATTGTTCTTTTTGCATTACTGGCTTTCCTTGGTTTTATTTTTTGATTTTTGCTTATTAAGCTGTATCTATCTCAATCCATGAGTTTTCTAACTGCTGCCCTTCCCTTTCCCCTCCTACTGCGGAGGAGTGAGAAGCTCTGTGGTGCTTAGCTGCCTATCAAGATTAAACCACAACCCAGGGAAAGGGCTCCAGGTCCTCACATGCTGCAAAATAATCTCTGGGGTGAGCAGAAACAGGAGTTGCTGTCATTTTGAGATCAGTTGTGCCTCTGCAGGAGACTCCAGGACAGGATTTGCTGCTTGCCCAGTCCACCCGTGAGTGTTGTTTCGTGTTCTGAAGTGCCCTCTTTCCAAGCTTGGCATCAAGCGAATCTCAGTTTTATTGGCTGGCTCTAAAGTAGTTGCACACCAAAGCAGTGAACTGCTTCCAGCTCAGTCAGACTGGAATTGTACATGGACTGCTGAGATGATGAAGCCAAGGCTCCCCTGGCTGCTCTGGGCCTCTGCATGCTGCTGGAGCACTGGCTTCTGTGGGAAGGTGGTTGTCTGGCCCACCGATGCAAGTCACTGGATCAACGTGAAAGTGCTGCTGGAAGAGCTCGTTCTCCTGGGTCATGAAGTGACTGTGCTGGTGCCTTCAAGCAATCTGCTCATCAACTACCGAGACATCTCCTCCCCCTTCACCTTTGAAGTCCTGCAAGTCCCCTTTACGCAGAAGACCCTGAATGCTCTCATGGAGGACTTCCTCAATTTCTGGATGAATGAGGTCTCTAATCTCTCCCCCTGGGAGATCATGTGGAGGATGAAAGAGGACCTGGAGGTCTTTACCAATATGTCAAGGCAGACCTGTGACACACTGGTGAACAACCCTCAGCTGATAGCAAAGCTCCAGCAGGCCAAGTTTGATGTTCTGATCGCTGACCCCCTGTCTGTAGGTGGGGAGCTCATAGCAGAAATCCTAACAATCCCTTTTGTCTACAGCTTCCGCTTCTCTGAAGGGAATGTGGTAGAGCGGCTATGTGGTGGGCTCCCATCCCCACCCTCCTACGTGCCTGCTAGCACAAGGGGGCTGACAGACCAGATGTCCTTTGTGGAAAGACTACAGAACTTCCTCTTTTACTTTTACACGGATTTATTTTTCTGGAAGTTTTGGCGAGACGAATGGGATGGGTACTACAGTGATGTCTTAGGTAAGGCAGCTGTTGAGTGGTTTCTCCTCTTGCATAGCTTGTGCCTTTCCAATGGTTTGAGAACTCAATGCTGTTGTCTCAAAGTATTCTTTCTGATTGCACAGCAGAGATAGTAATTTTGTTTTGGTCACATGGAGGATGTGTCGGTTTTTTTTTGTTTAGGTCTGGTCTAGTCTAACAGACACCAGTACAGTTTTCCTCTAATTCCTCCTGAAAATCATTAGAATACACAGTTCTAATTTTTGTCAGCGATGATACTGCTGATGAGCTCTTGCACTGAGCTGCATGCCCATTTTAGTGCTTTCAGAGGATAGTTGTTGCCTCTGCATCTTGATGACAGGCAGTTCTGCAATTAAAATAGTAGTTGCTAAAGGCTGGAGAGAAAAATTATTCCTTAATTAAGTGTAAGGCAGCAGAGACAGTTCCACTGACAACACAGGGATGGAATTAGCCCTGTTGTGACTAGAAACACAGGCTGTCTCTGGACAACTGCAGAGCAAAAAAGCACCCTTCATTCACATTGCACACATCGGCTGGAGGATTCATCCTGCAGCCCTGCGTAGTACAGCATGCTAAGTGTGAGTTCATACTCTCCAATAATAAATGCTAAGAACCGTCACCGTTCCCTTTCATCCACCATTCAGAGTTTGGAATAGTCTCCTTAAGCTACATACATACATGACATTTTTGTTCCAACCTAGTACAACTCAGGCTTGATTCAAAGTCAATTAAAGAGACCTTTTAGTTCAATGGACTCTGAATCTTGTACAGAGTATCTATGTTTAGGGAGATAACAAATGAACAGCAAGCACAAGGGCATCTATTCTGTTGCCTTCCAATGTCTTCGTTTCCCAAGGACGCCTCGGTGCTCTGCAAACTAGTCCCTTTTCCCTGGATTGATTTTTTTTTTTTTTAAATACCACATTAAGACTTAATTACACCTTATATCACTCATAATGCAGGTTTAATTTTCACTCCAGTAACTTTGTAACTGACTCATTGCTCTTTACTTAAAATAAAAGTAAAAACAAAAATACTGGTATAAATTGTAACGCTGATCAAGTAGTATAAGAAGATGCCCTATAGATAAATTTTATCTTGCCGCTTATTTTGCTTGGTTCCTGCTTGCATTAGTCTATCTTTGGACAATCATTTACCAACACTTCTAACTCTTTGACCCCACAGTTCTACTTTGTGGGTAAAATACTGCAATGACAATTTGTAACATGTACCTGAGAAAATAGATATATTTCCAAACGGGAAGCTATAAAACAGTTCTACCCTTTGGATTTTTTTCCACAGATAGATTCCTAGAGATGTTGGATTTTGCAAAAAATTACATTCAGAGCATCTATGGATCTGGCCAAATTTTCTCAATATGTATTCAGAAGGAGCTGACTCAGTCCCCAGGAAAACTAGGGATGGTTGTACCTGTCTTTTATTGCAGCCTGAGCAGCCACCGACTGAATCGCCTTTTGAAAAATGAGACAGAACTTTGTTTAAAAACTTTCCTCCTCCCTGACCGGTGATCATCACTTTGTGATTAATTTATTTTTTATTTGGTACTATATTTTCTGTGATTGCTCTCTTCCCCAAAGTGTGATTTTATTACAAACACAGGACATGAAGTCTTTCAGCTGCACAAGAATTGCACTTCCCTATCACAGGAACTGAATGCTTCCCATTTACTCTTGTACTGCTCTGAATTAATCCTGAAGGTTCAAAACCCTTTTAATAATCATACTGACTTGTTTGTGGCAACCTGCCAAGGCCAAACACAGGACAGGGCAAGGAATAGGTCTGGATTTGTCCATATTTTCACTTCATGCATGATTTGATAAACTACACCATCTGGCAGTGTCAAAAGACAAAGGTAAGGCTTCTATTTCACAATCTACAGCAAACAAGACCGCTCCCACACATGTTCTAAACCCCTTGTACTTTGTCCATAGGAAGGCCCACAACCCTCTGTGAGACAATGGGGAAAGCAGAGATATGGTTAATCAGAACATACTGGGATTTTGAATTTCCACGCCCTTTCCTGCCCAACTTTGAGTTTGTTGGAGGACTTCACTGCCAGCCTGCAAAGCCGTTACCAAAGGTATCCCAACTTTGTACTGCCATTGGTTGGTTGTTTGCCCAGCAGAACAAAACTGTTTCTCTCCCCCATCAACCGTGCAAGCCATGTCCTGAGAAAGCTCATTCTCAAAGAAGTGCTGCTGCTAATTGGGGAGCACGTGGCTATTTAGCAATCTGTCAGTACTTGTGCAAACTGAGGGCTGGGTTTACCACCTGCTGTCTTAAAAGAGTACAGCTGAGGTCAGCAGGAGGGAATACAGAGTTTGTTTTAGGAAAAAAAGGTGCTACCTCAAAGTTGTTAAGTGTAAAATTTAATTCTAAGATAAAGCCTTGCAACTCAGGATAACATTGAAATACCTGATGCTAAAAGGCACTGTGACCAGGCAAATTCTTTAGACAAAATGGAGTCAAGACTTGCAAATGGAGTCAAGAGATGAGTGATAAACACTACTTCTGTTGTTGCTTAGTTTAAAACATCTGAAAGGCAGTGAAATACTCAGCATCTCCAGCCTATGCTCTACTGTGACTGGCAATATTCAGGTGGAATTTGAAACTCACAGATACTGATGACAGCAACATGACAAGCTCTGGTCTAGGTTACCACTCCTGCAGAAGCCTTAGAGGAGGCAGGGTATTTTCAGTGCAAGTTGTCTACCAAAAGAAAACTTCTAACTCTCTTCCCACTCCCCTGTAGCAGGGGTTGACTTGGGGGGAAATGGATAACCATTCTCTTTTGGATGTTACTGCTCCATTTCACATGACACTAACTAAAAAAGGGAACAGGAAGACCTGTTGGTCTGATTTCTAGAAAATCTGTTTAGCAACATGTGCTATATTGCAAGAAATAGAGAACTGGCTAACAAAGTGACAGCAGTGACTTGATGAATCTCTCATCAGGATGCTGAAAAACCCTGTCAGTTTTCAGCACTTTGCCTTTTTTTTCAGAGCTATGAAATGTAAAGTACTTGTTCCAGGAAAATCCAGAACCATGACTGACTATGGTAGGGAGGGTGTCATAGGGTACGGCCCTCTCACACCCATGCCAGGATCCATGCCTGCTGCTTGTGCTCTGAAAGCAATGTGTCCTGAAACTGCTTGCCTTGTTTTCAAAAAGACAAAGCTTCTGTCACCTGTCTCAACTTATTCTACTCCTTCTTGGGGAGAAACTGTTTTACACAGTGCCACGTCTATCTTTGTAATGCCCTTCTGTCAGCAGAGGTGCTCATACACCATGATCATCTCCTTGATAAGCTAAAAACGTTATGCTCTCTGCTCACAGAAGTCTGTAATTTGCAGTGCACAATTACTCTTAGTGTGTTTTCTGCCTCTCCTAGGAAATGGAAGAATTTGTTCAGAGCTCAGGGGAACATGGCATTGTGGTATTCTCTCTCGGGTCAATGGTCTACAACCTAACTGATGAAAAAAGTAATGTGATTGCCAGAGCCCTCAGCCAGCTTCCACAAAAGGTGAATTTCCTTTTGAGTCTAAAGCAACTTGCCTTGTTTTTTGTCACTCCTGTTGCCTTCAGCGAGCCTTTTACATTCAGACTGGCCTGGTTTTTATCTGCATCTCTGCTGGATGTGCCACAGCCAGGAAGCTGGGCTCTGCAGTGGCAGACTACTGAGCCACCTCATGGGACATTCTGGAGTTTCCCCTTCTGTGAACCAAATGACATGGAGATGTGTCCATAGGCCAAAATACAAAAATCACTCTATGCCATTTTTATAATAAGCACATAATTAATCAAAGAGCTAAACTGAAGCCAAAGCTATTTGAATTACTAGGAAATGGTACGTGGGTTTGAGATATAATAATGGAGAAGGGCATGTCACATGCACAATGCTCATCTTATTTTTCATTTGTTCAAGGTCCTCTGGCGGTACAAAGGAAAAAAACCAGAAACTTTGGGCTCCAACACCAGGATTTATGACTGGATACCCCAAAATGACCTGCTTGGTGAGACTGATTCTATCTAGGATGCACTGTGCCACTGGAAAAAACTGTTTCCTTGTTTTGCCACTAAAATGGCTTATTCAGGCAAAAGAACCACACAACACTTGTGGCTACAATTAGTTTCGCAGCTCAAGCAGCAGGTTTGCTCTTCGAGCCTTAATTTCCTAACCTGATTTTGACTTTAAGGTGAGTGGCTGTACAGGAACCATGGAAGATGCAGCCAGGATGTGAAGGGAGTAGGGAGCAGTGGTTCAAGAAGGCAGCTGCTTGAGCCTAGCTATAAAGATGGATCTCTAAAGCAAGAGCCTCTGTCTTACAGAGCTTGGTAGCAATTGTCTGGAAGGGCAAAGAACCACCTCTACCTCTAGGCAGGAGTAAATATCAACATAGACATGCACTCTGCAGCTGGAATTGGCCTCTACAGTTAATCTCCAGGGCTCATTCTTCAAAATGTTTAACCTAAGCAAGGCTGGAGCAGGGGGCTGTGAACCTGATACTGTGTAAAAACCAAACTGTGTAACAGCAGAAGGGCTGAAGTAACTCTGGGATAGTCTGGAGGGATGTGCCGATTCACACATTGCATTAAAATAAATATGGATGTGTGAAAGCTAAGTGTGCAAGCTCTGATGCTGATCGAGAGGTCAAGGCTATTCCCTTCTCCAGCAGTGCATTTGCCCACATAGTTTGCAGTGCTCACATCCCAGTGAACAAAGTCTGCCACAGCTGCTGTCACACGTGCCTCTCCTTCCCTCTTCCAGGCCACCCCTTGACAAAAGCTTTCATTACTCATGGCGGGACCAATGGGATCTATGAAGCTATCTACCACGGGATCCCGATGGTTGGGATTCCCATATTTGCTGACCAGCATGACAACATTGCTCACATGAGGGCAAAGGGAGCTGCAGTTGAGCTGGATTTCAGCACATTGAAGACACAGGACCTAGTTGATGCACTGAATACAGTCATTAACAATTCCACGTGAGTTCTGTCCTTGCCTTACAGTGGGACGAGGTTATTAAAGTTCTGCTGGCTCTTCTGGGAACCAAAAATACTGAATAGCTGGAGTTTGGGTTTCAGATGAAAACTATCTTTAATTTCTGAAAATCAGCATTTCTCAGAAAGGAGAGATGAGTAATTTGATTTTTCCTATACTACGTTTTATGACCCCTTTGAGAAAAAAGCAGTTCTTAGAAAGCCCGGAGCAGCTCCTGAGACAGTTCTCTGCTAGTATAAATCCTCTGGAGGCTCTGAGTGACAATTCTAGTTGTATTCTGTCTGATCTGTCTGTAGCCACTCTTCTCTTTCCCCTGAGCTAGCAGTATCCTTGGGTTACTGCACCTATCAGTCAGGAATTAGAGAGTAAGGCAGTTTGGCAGCTGTGACCCCTTGCTAAGGATAAGGCCCTTGACAAAGGGATTGGAAAAAAGGCAGGAGTCCTCAGTCTTTGGCAGTGAGCCCTGTCAAGCGTGAGGGACAGGTATCCCTGCAAGGAAGAACTTGCCAATTCACGAAACAAACGGACTGATGCTGATGGAGGTATCCAGTATCTAAGAGGAATTAGCCGTAGTGGAGGTCATCTACAACCACCTGGATGACTACCAGGCATCCAGAGACCCAGACAAAATCTGGTGCATGGGGCCCCTCTGCCAACCTCTCCCTTAGTTTTATTGCTGAGCACAGTATCATATGGTATGGCATATCCCTTTGGTCAGTTGAGGTCAGCTGCTCTGGCTGTGTCCCCTCCCAAATTCTTGTGCACCCCCAACCCACTTGCTGGTAAGGTAGGGTGAGGAGCAGAAAAAGCCTTGAGCTGTGTCAGCACTGCTCAGCAATAACAAAAGCATCCTTGTATTATCAACACTGTTTCCAGCACAAATCTGAAACATAACCCCATACTAGCTACTATGAAGAAACCCACCAAAAGCAGCACACTGTATTATATTGGAACAGAAAATGCTGCAAATGTTTTTGTGTTCCTTTTTTTAAAGGAATAGCTGGAATAATCTTTCTTTGCAAAAGACTGGCTTTCTCCATTATAGTTTATAACCCAATTTTATGCAGACAGGAGTAAACTGGGCCAGTTTCAAATATATTTAAATAACATCGATGAAAGTAAAAGCAGGGTTGTCTACCTTCCTCAAGAGGACTGCCAGATGCTGAATGGGTTGTTTCAGGAATCAGTGACAATGTCCTTGGTTTCTTCTTTTTTCCCCAGCTATAAAGAAAATGCTCTAAGGTTATCCAAGATACACCATGACCAGCCAGTTAAGCCTCTGGACAGAGCTGTCTTCTGGATTGAATTTGTCATGCGTCATAAAGGAGCAAAGCACTTGAGACCAGCTGCTCACCACCTCACTTGGTACCAGTACCACTGCCTGGATGTTCTGGCGTTCTTGTTCACCTGTACAGCTATTGCTGCCTTCATTCTTGTCAAGTGCTGCTTATTTTGCTGTAACAGATGTGGCAGGATTGCAAAGAGGAAGAAAGAATAGACATCCTGTTCCCATCAGCACTTCTTCTTCTCCTAGGCTGATTCAGCAAGGCATTTCTTGGTGAATAAAATTATTAGGATATACTTTAAGCTGGGCATATCATGAAGCACCCACCTAAACTGGGTCATGCTAAAAAGCCGTTGTGCAGCAGAGCTGCTTGCTTAGCCAGCAAATTCCTTCTGGCCTAAACAAGATTGAATTATAGTTGCTTTAGCCTCTGGGACCCTATTAGCTGATCACACACGGTCCCTAGACTGGGAATTGCTGCTCTGATTTTTCAACTTCATTTTGGTACATTTCATAAATTCAGCCTTCCCATGTGTGGTACTGTGGATCCTTCAATCTGCAGCTCGTCTCCCTACCTTAACTCTGTCCTCTCTTATAATGTCACCCAGGCTTGATGATTCACAATCAAAAAGCCGCTCCTGTCAGAACAGCTCTCTCCAGATTGGACAGTGAAGCTAAGATCATGGGCTGCTAAAAAGCATCCATCTGAATGGCCAAGATCATGAAAAACTGGGAGCTGCAAGTGGCTGGTGAAGCCCTTATCATCACATATTTACAAATGCACTGACTGCTTGGGGGCAGAGGGGAGACCAGAGTCCTAAAACCAGCAGAGAAATTACTTTTCTGAGAATCATTTCTTTTCCATTCAGTCTGGAATCCTACTGCATAGGCCATCATTCTAACTGCAACACTACAGGGGTGTTGAAACCACCTGTCAGGAACTTGTCCATCTTTACCCTCCAATGCCTCTGAGCCATGCTAACTGATAAATGCAGGAAAACCTCTAGAGATGGAATTTGCAATGAAGTAACATTACATGTGGGAACAGTGCAATAGTCAACTGCCTTGTCTGAAAAGTTGGGCGTGAAAATAATGCTGCTCTCGGCTCATGTAAGAGTGGTAGTAGATGCAGCTCTCCTGAAATTGTTCAAGGTGCACTTACTGATGAAAGCCTACGAAAATGATGCTAGTTCAGGCCTCCTGTTCTACGTAAGGTTATTCCACTGCTTTAGCAGCTTACTCAAGAAAGAACCCGCTCCAATTTTAACTGATATCTGCTGTATTCTGGACGCTGCAGAATTGTTTTCAAACAGAACAGGCTGAGAAAGCATGTTATATTTGTTTACTTAATAAAGTTCCCTACACTACATCAACTTTATTAGCACTGTCATTAGCATTGTCAACAGTTTCAATATCTGCTTAAATCTCTTCATACTGTAACATTTACAAAAGCTCATGTGAATTGTTTCCAAACTAAAGAGGGGTTAGAACAAGACTGATGCTTTTCAGGGTAACTTCTGGCACACTGTTCCTACAGTCATGGTGGGATCATATGCAGAAATATGCACACTGAAACATGCATAGAAAATAGGAAATGGAACAGCATGACATTTGGGCCCCAAATGGGAAAGATTTGGCTCTAACTGTTCATAGACCTGGGTCCCTAAGCACAGCTCTGCCAGGCCTGATCACTAACAGCCCCCATCATCCAGCTTCTGCAAGAATGAGATGTCAACTTGGTTGCCAGAAGGCCAGCAAGCATCCTAGCATACTGCATAGAGACTGATCAGATAGGGCTAACAAAGGACACGGGAAACAGGATAGCCGGGAAAAGTCGGACAAAGTGCTCTGCAGTCACTTTAAGGAGATGCTTCTTTTCTGTAACTTTGAGAAATTTGGCTTAACTAGTATTGAATTTAAAAAGCAAAAAAGAAAACCAATCACAACCCCCCTCTTCTTTCTAGAATCTGTACACAAAGCAGAGAAAAATATCAAAGAATGAAGACAGTCTATGATGCGCTTCTGCCATGAGACACAGTATACGTACTGAATTTGATACTCACCTAATCCTACTGCTACCTCTCAGGCGTATCTCTCAGTGCACAGTAAAATGTTTTGAGCAACCCAAACATATGTTCAGTTTCTTGTAGTGTTTGAAAAAATCCCAGCATACTTGGATGTTGGAGGTCAAACTTTTCACTTAGAACATGTAGATGTTTGCTATCGCTACATAGACTAAAACGCAGAGAACGCAAATTATTGTTAGATCTAAAAACAATGTGTTTCCACAACTGCTACACTGTCACCAATCCTCTATTACAGTTTATAAAAACAGATACAGCACTTAGCACTGTGAATATGGGAGGTTTTTCAAGCACATGCTACAGTTTGGCTTTGTGACATGAAGACACTGAAGAAAGGTTATGAAGAAGTCCACTGAGACAGCGCTACTCATACAAGTTTTGGTAACTAGGAAATTGATGGAGAAACTGAACAACTTCCACTGCAAGTTTTACTTTTCTTTTTTCGCAGTTTTCCCATTGGTATTTAGATTCAAATATTTCCTATTTAAGAGATATGACAAGTGATACAGTAATCACTACAAAGAAGACACGGAGAGTCTGAATCTTGCAGGATCAAGCACAGTCCTGGGAGAGAGGTATGATTATGGCCAAGGACAGCCTCCCAGTAGCTTGAAGATCATTTAAGCTGAACATGTAGGGCCTTATTATCACTGATTAGCTTCAGGAGCTGCAAGCTGACCACTCCACTGTGGAAAGAGAAAAGCTACTACCTCTTATTTCAGCAGTCCTCTTCCTCAATTCAGACTTCTGATCAATTTCATCTATCACAAGAACCTTTGAACTATTTTTGAACAATAATATTTTCCTAGAACTGCCAGAATCTATCAAAGCTGTCAAGCTCAGAAGACCAAGAAACCCGATCTGGAGTTTTAATCATTTCAATAGTTACCAATTTATTTTTATATATATAAAAAAAAATGGTAGCAATGTAGAATACAGCAATATTTTCTGGTTCCACACACGCAGGTTGTGAACATTCCAAGCAATGTGTACATTTTGGAATGAGACTAGACAAGAGAATTGACCAAATGTTACCGAACACAGGAAGATTTTTAAAAAAGGTTAAAAACTAGATATCAATAGTGTCTTCTTAATATTGCTTTCATTACTGAAGACTGAAAAAACACTTGACTTTACATAGGGTTAAAAAACGGGGCAGGGGGGAACAAAAAAAGAAAAAAAAAAAAAAAAAAAGGCTGCTACAACACTGCCATACAGTCAAAAAAAAAAAATCATACTTCAATATTTGCATACTTGATAGCAGCATTCTCCCACTGAACCATAGGAAACTACAGGAAGAAAACATCAAAGCAAAAAAATAATATGGCAGTTATCCATCAGTATTCGGAAACCTAGAATGACGTCACTAAGTAGATGAACACTTACTGAGAATTAATCAATATCTACATTCTTAGCTGTTTCCCATTCTGTTCCAATAGAAACGCGAAGTTGAGCGTCAGCTTTGCGTATTTTATTTTTGGCCGATTTGAGTTTTTCCAGTTTATAGTTCACTGCATGCTTGGAATAGAGAGGGTCATTATAAATCCTTCTACACAACGAACTTTAAGTAGACAGCTGAAAATAAAATGTACTACTTGTAAACACACAAAAAAATACAAGCTTTTTTTTTGTTTCAAGTGAGCACTGGTTCCAGATAGATTATCTTCGGTATCTACCTCTTTCACCTCTGTCTCTGTCCCGGTCACAAATCCTCTCTCTTTCCCTTTCCCGATCACGGCCTCTGTCACGTTCTCTGTCTCTTCTATTATCTCTAGGACGGTCCCGTTCCCGCTCTCGGTCCCTCTCCCGAGGCCTGCTTCTCCGACCACTGACCACAGCTTGCGTGCGGCGAAGAAAATCGTCCACTCTCATGTCGTAGTCGTGCTGTGATGAAAGGACAGTCCTGTTTATTTTCTTTCTCAGATTAAAATCCCCTCCCTTCCCTTATCTCTAGTATTGACCTTAACTCCTGGGAAAGCCCAATATTTAAAAAACAAACAAACAAACAAACAAACAAAAAAAAAAAACCAAAAAAATCCTAAAAAATAATTTATGTCCAGCATCCATAAGCATAAGTTTCTTCTTCTTTCATCCTCAGGGCAGCACCATGTCCCTGATTCCACTGTTCAGAAGCTGGGGTTCAAATGCCAGATACCACCAAGAGACCTGAAAGCTAAGCAGCCTTGAAAGCCAGCTAGCAGAATTCATTTAACAATCTGCCCAGTTTTTTGATGTGCCTATGAAAAGTTATAAACCACAAACTTGTTTCTTGATAATCTGTTGTGCATGAGCGCAAGCAACGTTACAGGCTTGTAACTGTAATCAAATTGGGTTTCAGCATGAAAAGTTTCAGAGCTAGACAGCTGGAAGCCATTTTAAGCACACACCTCAGTGTAAGAGTATGTTCTGAGAATTTCACGCTTCTACATCACCTGGGAGACAGGCTTTTTGAAGATGCTGGAAGTCTCTAGTCAATTTAAATAAGTGATCTTTCCAAGGAAAACTAATACAGGTCTTAAAAATGCAGTTTATCAAAGACAACAAATTTCAGGTCAGGCTACATCTGTACCCCAAACTCCCACTCTGGCCTGCAGACTCGTGTCCCCCTCCGTCACTTTGGACACTTACTACTCGTTTGTCTCTGTATCTTGCTTCATGTGGTACAGGATGATGTCCTGAGTATGGAGGGTGAGCTTGAGGTGGAGGTGCATGGTGCTGATAGTAAGGGTGGTGTGGTGGCTGCTCCATACCTGGATACGGTGGCTACAAGAAAGTTATAGTAAGTTTGTTGAGTGTTTCAAAACAAAAGAATGCACACAAGGCTGAGTGCTGGGAATTAAGAACAGAGGTTACTTCCACTCAGATGGAAAACATGACATCTAAATATATCTGATCACAGCCTCCTAACTGAATGGCAGACTATTTTTCATTATATCTGTATGCTTTACTACTTCTCTATCGTTATTTTAGAAGTACCTTCTTTCCATATCTCCCTCAAAGTGATACTGCACATAAAACTTCTGCTACTCAAATGTGGTAGGTTTTGGTTTTGTAGTTTTGTTTGGTTTTTGTTTTAAGTTATGCATATGGAATGTGAATTTTTTTCAAATCAGCACGCTCTTACAGAAACAAGTCTTTTCAGTGTCATTCCTTATGAATATATTCTTATTTTAAATGAACAAACTTACTCTGCAAGACAAATTATTTGACAAAAGGCTAGCAGATTTATTTTCTTTTAAACAAGACATCTCTTGGCTGTTCTCTTTCATTTCTTCAATCAGCAAGGCCTTTCTTCCCCATATTACCAAAGCATCTTTGTGTTGTTGTCACAAAGAAAGGAAGTGAAATGCTGGATTTTAGGATGACTACTTGGACAGCATGAAGAATGGGGAAGAGCGGAGGGAAAAAAAAAGAAAAAAAAAAAAAAAAAAAAGGACTTGGGATTTTCTGGAGACTTAGCTGTGTTTGAAAAATCCATTTTCCTCCCAGTCCAACAACTTTGTTCACTTCCTGCAGTTACAACAAACCAGAGTTGTGTTTCAGCTGAGAAAAACAAGAGGCTATACTACTATCTCTACATCTGGTGCTGCCTTTTCCTCACTCACAGTACACAAGTCTCATTACAGTTATCCAAAATCAGGACTCTCAGGGCCAGAATTACTAAATATACCCAAAATAACTAGTTTTAATGATTATTCCTTCTGACAAGATGACAAAACCACAGCTGTACAAATGAGTCATCAGTAAATTTCCATGTATGTAGCCGTAGATATGTGCACTCATACATACGCTCATCTGACTGGGAAGAAAGTGCATTTCAGTGGAGGCTGCAATACAGCAAGACTTATTTTGATGAAGGTGTGCAGTACATTCTGCTACCTTCCTGCATGCTTCACTGCCATAGCCAAAAGCAAGCCACTGCACAACACCAGAGAATGCCAGCTCATTCCATGAGCCACTGCAGCAAGTCCACCTCTTTAATGCATCTGCTGTTTGAGAGAAAGCCAATTACTATGAATATTTAGTAGAATACAAAATTTTCTCATACCCTCTTGTGTAAGCTAAAGGAGGGTTCTGCTACTTCCTCAGAGCTTTCAGTTTCTTGTGGGTTCAAACCAAGGCAGATTCCTGCTACCATGCTTACTAGAATGCTGGACTACTGCTGGGAGCTAGGTAAGTTACAAAATACTTGATATAAACAATAATTTCCCCTAAAAATTTTGCACAGTTACAGCAAAGATACATTTCAGGAAACGGGAAGAGTTCAGCACACACTGAATATGCT